AGGGGTTCACCGACAAAGCCGCGAATATAGGATTTTAGCTCAGGGTATGCCGTCCAAAAAATTTCATATCAAATTCGGTAAATTCATATTAGTAATTCGGTAATAACTGTAAAATTGACAACGTGATTCGATATGTATGTACTAAGTAACAAGACGAGGTTTAAATTCATAGATTAAAGTTCCTTGTGACTTCCCGCTTCCGCGATGGATGGCGTGATCCGTGTCCAGGTGATTTTTTTTCTTTTTTATATGAATACACGTATAATATGTATATTATATCGGTTGCTTGCCAGACAGACAGGGTATGCCGGGGACGGCATACCTGGCATACTTGTGGTTCCGCCACTGCACTAAGATACTTTCTCTGTTCACAGAAGAATGCAATTATCATATTTCGAGAAGTCAAACAGTTTAAACTTTGACTAAAGTTATATAAAAAATACTAATATTCATGATATAAAATAAGTATCATTAGATTTACTATGAAACAAAATTTTATAGTAAATTTACTTAGAGACATAAATGACAATGCTACTTATTATAGATTTAGTTAAACTTGAGCTACTTTAATCGGCATGAATCCCATAATTACATTGTTTTGTGGACGAAGTGAGTACATCCCCATGCAAATATGGTGCTTGATGGCCAGGTGCCACAATTAATGTCAGGTACGAGGATATAGTGATGCATGCATGAGCAAAGGTAAAGTATAGTCTAGGAAAAGCATGACATGGAAACCTTTTAGACGTGAATTCTTGATCCATGTACTTGTCATGAACTTGTTCACTCAAATTTAAGTCATTGGCTTCACATAGATGTTCGTATTTTTCTAAATTTATTTGTGCTATAGGCAAACAACGAGATATTTGTAGTGACTAGATCTCAAGATCTATCGGCTTAGTTTCTCACAAATTTTCATGAGGATAACGTGAGTGTATATGGGTTTGTTTCGTCCGTGACCTAGCCCACGAAGCTCGTCTAGATAAGTTGATTCAGGCCTAGACGTTGGAAATCGATGGCCTAAACCGCTAAACGAGCTGACTGGCCCAGATATATTTCTTAATCTTTCGTCCAAACAAGCCCTATATACATGCATAGGTGAGTATATATGTTCAAATGTGTTTCTCAGAGAAAAAATGGAAAGAAAAAATATTTTACGGTGACATTATACGGGGCCTCTTCTTTTGTGTGTTACTAAATGTCGTCCTCGTAGGTGGAATGGATCAAGTCGTGAAAAAAAGGGACTGATCCAATATATATATGATTACTTTGTGAAAGCATAATCTATGGTACCATACTGCCTTAGAAGGCAAGGTCATCCGACTTGTCCAAGTGCATGCAATCCTGAAGTGCACTTCAAGCCATCTGAGTTCCGGACTTTCTTTGTGTGGCATGCTTGCATTTTCTCACTGCTATCTATCGCCGAAGGAATTTTGTTTTGTCCTTTTTTTTCTGAGCTTCAGAAGTCGATCGGCCCTTGTCACGCCTCACGTCAGAGCTAATCTTTTACATGGATTATGTCAGGGTTGTTTAATGGTACTCGTTTGGAATGACCCTTTCTCCACAACCTCAAGTTAACCATTATTGTTCACACACTAATATAAGGCCTTGTTTAAGTTTTGGGGTGTCACATCGGGTGTTACATGGGGATGTCGCATGGGATGTTCGGATACTAATAAAAAAATAAATTACAGAATCCGTCAGTAAACCGCGAGACGAATTTATTAAACCTAATTAATCCGTCATTAGCACATGTGTTACTGTAGCAACACATTGTCAAATCATGGACTACTTAGGCTTAAAAGATTTATCTCGTAAAATAGTCACAATTTATGTAATTAGTTATTTTTTAGTCTATATTTAATACTCCAAACATTCGTGTCCAAACATTCGATGAGATAGGGTGTAAACTTTTGATGAAGAACTAAACAAGGCCTAAAACAACCAATCAGACAGCTAGCTATCATACAAGAGGCCTATACCAAAAATTACACGAAAACTGCAGCCACGGAAGCGGCAGGTAAAGATGGCAAAAGTTCTTGCCTCACAGTTCAGACAAGGGGACGTCAGAAGCTTGAGATCTAGCGAAATAGCAGTAGACCCTCTTCACGTCTACCAAACCTTACCTCATCTTGCCAAATGCCAATCGATTAAGCTGTTGTTTTTTCGAGGATACTCTGGAACCGAATCTTGGTTGCTGTCCAGAACAGAATAATGGATCCTTGCTCTGTGGGTTCTGACTTCTGAACTTTCCGTTGCAACGTCAGAGATGGTAGGTTGGGTTGAAGAACATGTGTGGTCATTCATTCAGGCCCTGTTTGATTTCTACGGGCGCTCCTAAAATTTCTGTCACATCAAATGTTTAAACACACGTATGGAGTATTAAATATAGACTAATTACGAAACTAATTATACAACTTACGACTAATTTGTGAGACAAAATTTTAAGTCTAATTAGTCCATGATCTGACAACGTGGTGCTACAGTAAATATGTGCTAATGACAGATTAATTAGGCTTAAAAATTATCTCGCAAATTAACCTCCATCTATGTAATTGATTTTGTAATTAATCTATATTTAATACTCTTTATTAGTATCTAAACATTCGATGTGACATAAATTTTTATAAACGATTAAATAACCAAGCACCCACTCAGTCTGAAAGGTCAACAGTACGGCCAGAAAAAAAGAAGCACATAAACTAGTTTTGTTTGGACTTTGATTGATGGGATTTGAGTCGAATTGTGTGGGTCAATGCAATTGTATAGTACTCCGTATGCCCTAGTAGTTGAGCAGCCTAAGCCTAGCAGTTGCAGATAGCACAACCTCCTATGCCTTCCCCTGATGCTTCTCCCCTCCCTGCATCATCATCATCCATCCTGTACTCGTTCCAGTTGGTCAGTTGGATCAAGCAAAGTTTTTTTTTTTATTCAATCATCAAGAACCACCTTTTCTTTTAAGGGCGGGCATGATGCAAGCGGTAGAGTCTTACCGTCTGTGACCGGAAGGTCCTGGGTTCGAGTCACGGTCTCCTCACATTGTACAGGCGAGGGTAAGGCTCGCCACTGACACCCTTCTCCAGACCTCGGCACTGGATACGCCCTTATTCAATCATCAAGAAAATTAGAATTCCTCCACGGCGTTGTTGAGCAGGTGGTGCCCAGGTCAGGTGACAGCAGGAGATGGCCCTACGAGGCTGCGAGAGCTCGCTCAACGGCCAACTGAGCTGAAGAAGGCATGCACGCGTCGCCGTCGCTGTCGCTCTCGTCGCCGACTCGCCGTCGCGGGGTTTGAACTCTGAAGTCGCACGCTTGGCCGCCACAGCATCAAGTACCACACGCTTGCATTGACATCACAAACCGGAGAATCTTGGATCCGTAAAGAGAAGAGAGACTGCACGGGATCACAGATTAATGATGTTACAGAGGGGAGAATATTGCTGTTGAAAGTTCATGAATGCGAGCTGAACTGGACGGATTCATATACGAACTTGAGCCGTGCTCGATCATGAATGAGTTCGTCTTCATGACCTCTAGGTCCAGCTCTGAACTTAAATGTTCGACGAATCCTTGGCTCTGGTACGAACAGATCATGATAGAGGAAAATGGAGGAAAACAGGTGGTAGAAGTAGAACGGCGGCGTTTTATGGGCTGCTACCATCCTACGCTGCGCACGTAGTGGTACTGACGTAACAGCATTTAGCAACCACGAGAGAACACATGCATGTGCCCACAGCAGTACCCGATCGAAGGGGATGAATTGGGTTTCTATGATTTTGTTGTGAAAATTAGAGTTTTTTTTCAAACTCACTTATTCTGCTCAAGGTTGCAAAGTGTGACTAATTAATGAACTCACTTATGCTCTAAGAATGTAAAATGCACAAAATAAATGTGAAAAGTAAAGAGCAGGTTACAAATATGTTTTCCTGGAGTATTGGAGAACCGACTCTCCATCGGTCCTTATTGAAGCACCTGTACAAGGATGTAGCCTACCTTGATCTGTGCTACGATCAAGCACTCTCTAGTGGTAATAGATTCTCTACTCTCGATCGGTGGACCTCTAAAAGATTACAAGCTTCTTGGGGATGATGTTAATCACTAAGATTAACAAGTAAAAAGACTCTCGCTCGACCAAATTCTAGCCAAAGAGATATTGGATGCACACTTACTACTCCCTAGACACTAATGACCCCCTTAGTCTTTAATTAATCCCTTGAAGTCACTCTTGTGCTTCTCTCTTGCCCTCTAACTCTAAATAAGTGTATGAACCATCCTAGGTGGCAAGAAAGAACCTTTGGATCCATAGATGGTATACATATATAGGCCGTTGCAACTAAAAATCAATGCATTGGATATTCCTATGGTATTTTGAAGCACAGGGTCATCCAGCATTCAAATCCACTATTATGTTATGGAACCGTTCAAGTTGACACCATCTGAGCATCAGGTGTGCTGAGCCCATATAGGCTATACTCCACAGCCAACTGTAGTGTAGGCAGCTAGCGAGAGGTAGGTTAGCTGGTCAGGTGACAGCAGATTGGAAGGTGTTCCGAAGGCATATCCTGGTGCAGCACCGTCCAACTGAACTGATCAAGGCATGCGAGTACGAGCCCCGCACACTTGACATCATAAACCAGACGGATTATGACCTTCAGCCTTCAGGCTGGCTTGCTCATGGCTCCAAGTTCAACTTTTTAACTTTAATTGCTCAATGAAATACGGGCTTTGTACGAACAGATCAGGAATTCAAGGTTGAGGAAATAGCAGGCACTGTCATTTTCCAACTGCCAAGCCGCTGCAGCTAACAGCCATAGCCTAAGATTTGAGAGACCATCCCTACCACCCAAGCTTAAAATAATACAACCACGAAGTGCTAGCTACTAATACAAAGTCATTAAATGTGTTATCCCTTTCCCAGATGCTAAGCTGCTAAATATTAGCAGGCATTGAATCTAAACATAGACTAAAACTGATTCACACAGATCCCGTAACGCAAAACTTCAGCTAACGGATTGAACACTGCATTCTTGTAACAGAAGTATCATATCACATTGCGCATCCTCACCATACTGATCATAAATCTCTCGCTTTTCAGGATCACTGAGGACCTCATAAGCCTGAGCTAGCTCCTTGAACTGAAATAAAAGCATGAAATCTTAGTTTTTCATCTCAATCAGAAATCACCAGCTCCATTCGACCATTCATACAGCCTTACAACCAAACATCACCATATTCATGCAGGTTAGGCAAAATGATCTATACATCACCACTTGTTCTATCAAACAAGAGCAAAGCACCATCATAGCATCACTAATTAAATGACAACATATGGTAAAAGTTATTCTAAAAAATCAAACCGCATTATGCCTACAGAGCAGACAAGTGACCATACTGTATATATATAAATAATCCATAAGCAGAATGTGCATATTCACATTTTTCAGGACCAGAACATTCATGGAATAAGTGAAGCACTTTTAGGATCAGAGCATTCATCTAACATTCGAATCAGTAGAGCACACTACAGCATTCAGGTCAGAGAAATTGGATTCAGGTTAGGGAAACTGAACCAAGCATGTCCGTCGGTTCCTCAGGTAAGTTTGGCAATCAATTTCACAAATTTTTCATCAAAAGCTACCACCCTGACCATTATACTAGCAAACCAACCATCTAGCACACAACAACAGACAGGTCTAACAAGACTAAAACGGTATCAATAAAAAAAATACTAAATCATGAATGTTCTGAATGTTGTGGGAGGACAACACTAGAATCCATAAATGGAAGGTAACTTGATTGCTTTGAAGCAATTTGGCTTTGCCTGTTGAGAACAAATCGTGCAGAACTGTTCCTCTAGATGAAAGTTCCTGTTCCATGAAAGTTCTCGGGCTTGTAATATGTCTTTTATTTATAATGTTATATATAGAGATAACCAGTGGCGAATCTAGAAAAAACTATGATGGGGGTCGGCGCAAACTCATGATAGAAATTTATAGTAATCTAACACTATGATACATGCAAAATATAGGCAAAATTGTGAAGCCATGCTGCAAAAATCAAGGATTCATATATAGGAGCGAAATAATAATATTATAATAAGATAAGAATAAACTTTTTACAATAGTGGTTACCTCTTATAATTTCACTCTACGGGTACGATCATCCAATTCTAGAAACGAACTATGACATCGTCATTTGGGATTGCATCGAGAAATTCTTGTTCCACGAAGCAAACGACACAATCATTCATAAATTCATCCCCAACACGATTCCGTAGATCTATCTTCATAATTTTCACTACTGAAAAACATCTTTCCACTGATGCTATGGCGATAGGAAGAACTAGCACAAGTTTGAGAAGTCGATATACCAAAGGAAAAGCAATATGTTTTTATGTATCCACCATGAATCTACCAAGTTCAGAAATAGTATCCAATTGGGCAAATCTTGCATCGGCCCGCACATTATCAATGTAAATATGAAGCTCAAGACTAAGATCATCTAGCTCATTTGAATCAAATCACTAGGATATGCATTTGCCAACTCCATCGAACTCTCAAATTTGAAAGCATCAAAAGAATTCTTGTGATTGAAAGCAGCAACATAGGTAAGCAATTCAGAATTTACCTCATTAAAACAATCATTAAATTTTATAAACTGCAAATCAATAATTGGGTTCAAGCAATCATATTTGTAGTGATCATCACAGGGGGATTTTTTCCTTTCAAGAATCCTTCCATTGTGCTTTGATTGGCTATCAAATTAGTGAACACAGTTAAACACTAAAGTAGATATTGAATAACAGCAAGCAGCCTGCACCCATGCGTATATTTCCTTACCTGACATGTTGATATTGCTCCAATCAGCCAACGCTCACGCCGGCGCCGGCCATGGCAAGATACGGCGATATCTGCAGGCTGTAGCGCCAGGCTGTATTGCTGGTTGCAGTGAGGGGGGCGATCGCAAAGGAAGAAACCTAGAAGTTGAATCAGAAAGACGAAGCATCAGGCGGCGGCCGGTCTAGGCAGACTAATCGACGACATGATTTTTGGGCTTGTTAGCTTCTTCGCTTTTGTTGTTTATTGGCTACACGATGTCCATCCATGTATTCATATTGGGCTTTTGTGTTTGCGGCCTGCTGGCCTCTGCACTGAGCTGCACCGTTGTTGGAGTTAATATTTTAATTTCACTGGGGTCCAACATGGTGAGAATACGGGGGTATCGCTGGTTCTACGGAAGTCATCTGGGTTGGTGGACCCCGACGCTTTACTGTAGATCCGCCCCTGGAGATAACAGCATCGACAAACTCAACTTGCCCTATCTTGACCGGTAAATGACACGCTAAGCAGACCTGAACTTTAGTTCATGAATTACAAAAGAGTTCTTTTTAAAAAATGTTAAACTGGATTTCATTTCATCATAGGGATAGTGAAAAGATGGGGCTAAACATTCGCCATTGGAAATTTTGAAGTGCTCTTTGCACATTACATCGTAGAGAGTGCAGTCATGCTTGACATGAGTACAAACAAGGCCGTGTTTTCTTGTCTAGCTTGCCTGGCAGGCAATACAAAGGAGTTGAACCCTACCGAGTTACTGTGAGACACATTAAACTATAGATACTTGATCTGGATACAAATCATTGATCTACTAATAGGCAATGACACCTTCTGTCCAGTGGTGATCACCAAATTTATCAAGTCATGAAACTTGCATATAGAAATCTCCAGCAAAACATATCAGAAAGATAAAAACTGACAGGAAGCATAAGAATGTCACCTGTTGTCATTTACAAATATTCTTCTATTCATGGATAAAGAACCCCCTCAGAACTGGATGCCATAATATGGCATTCCACATCAGGATGCTCCTTCATAATGCTACAGATCTTCTTGTAGCCATTGTTACTTGGTGAGACGTCATCAGAAATAGTCATTGTCAATCTCTGAAGCACTGTTGCACATCGGAGTATGATTTTTAGGAAATCAACTTCATCATCTTCTCCTTGCAAGCCATGAATTTCAACGACTTCAAGATTAGCCAGAGACACCTTCACTTCTCCAGTTGATAGGATGTTCACAAGGACAGTTTACTGGGCAGGGCACTCGTACCTGAAAGAAAATTGGAGTACAGGATCAACAACCAGAATACATAATTACAGGACAATTCACTACTATCTAAATTCAGTAGCCAACCAGAATACGTAAGTACAGGATCAACAACCGAATGATTACCTTGTCACGTGCTAGGACCACCTTAAGCTTTTGCATAGTTGGTTGAATCCGAAGCAGACACAACATCATTGGTCCAAAAGTATGCCTCTCTGTTTCGAGATCCAGCTCTAAAACAGAAAAAGCAGTCACTGGAAGATGAGCCATCACTTGTGTAATGCTCCATTCTGCATACAGAAGACCATTTGGCTGCAAATCAACAAAGTGAGTGTCCAATGTTATCAAAAGTGGAAATTGTCGTCACATGAAGAAAACCATTTGGCTGCATATAATAAGATAAATAATTTTGGTATAAATGTTTGGAAGAGAAACATAGCAAAGTAGCACACGCACATTAGCAGAACTCATTATGATCAGCGAGATGACATGGAAATCATCTAGCTCACGCTCCTTTACGCTCAGAAGGCGCCATATCTGGCCGAACCCAACAGAAACGTACGAATAAGAGCAACCCCATCTGAGTTTCTTCACCATTGGGGCCAAGAAGGACAAACTGAAGCCTTTGGCAATATCTACCTCCAGTGTCACCTCCTTAAGCACTGGGGCCGCAATGTCAATGCGGCAGATGTCATGATTATTTATCTTCAAGCCCAACTCCTCAACCAACGGTGACTGAACAATCATAGTGTTAACTGTTAGTGTTGATCTCTCCAGGCATTCGGGTTACCCGAAAAATTTGGGTCAGGTAATTGGAAATTCGGATATTAGAAATTCCTACCCGATTCTGGCCCTGAAAAAGTATTATCCAAAATTTCGGGTACCCGATAATCCAGGTTCGGTTTTTACCCGATATACACGAAATTGACAAAATCAACCGTTTTGGAAGAATTCTATTAGCATTTTGAAAGCAATAAACAACGGTCCTTCAAATCACATCATGTCTTCGTATCAATCAACAACAAAACAATTATAGCATAAATCTACTTTAAGTAATACCAAATAATACTTATATTGCACTGAACCAATGTCTTCATATTAGGAATAAGAGAGCAAATATTTGAGATATTTCAGGTAATTCGGGTACCAAGGAACATTACCCGAACTACCCAAACTAGATTTATGGTTTTACAATTACTATCCGAAATTGTGATCGAGTATTTCGGATTCGGAGATTGGGTTTCGGGTACTTTGCCCACCCCTACATTGGCACATGGGTCGATGAGTCGCGCATCATTTGCTTTGTACGGTCAACTAGGCGCCTCGCTGTCGACGAGCACGTCGCCTACCACTCAAAAAATAGTGCCGTTAAATCTTGAAATAAATCCTGAAAAATACGAGCACCCGTGTCAAGTTGGGGACTTGAACCCATGTAGGTGGGGTCCACCATAAGAAACGCAACCAGCTGAGCTACGCTCCGTTCGTTTGACTAACTATATATAATAAATATCAATATTTATAATATTAAATGCATGCATTATTGGATGTATCATGAGATAGATTTTTTTATAATAATATATCTATTTGATATCATAAACATTAATATTTTCAACTATATATTTAGTTAAATTTTAAACACCTTAAAAATACATCTTAAATTATACTACCTCTCCCCAAAAGGATACAACTATGGCATGCATGTCAATTAGAGTGTTTCACGTTTGACCAGGTTTCTAATAAATAGTATTCATATTTATAGCTCCAAATTAATTTATTTTAAAAATACATTTCATAATTAATCTAATGATATTTATTTAATATTATAATATTTATATTTTTTTATCTATAATTGATTAAACTTGGTATAATAAAATATAACGCTGTCTCAAAATTATGTTCTTTTATGGACGGAGTGAGTATTTTTTTTAAGAGACGGTGGTGTGCAGCAGCTCCAGGGTAGAGTTCAGTTTTTAAAAAGCTGTGGGCCCAGTAAAAGTCGATGTTTCTCATGGTTCCCTTGCTATTGCGTGGAGTTCGATTAGATCGGTGTCAAGTTAAAATAAACAATTGCTTGCACTGTATGGACAGAGAGTGTGTAGAGCAGCTGATTTGTGGAGCATGCCTGTTGGCTTGAATTTATCAGTCGACTTGTCAGTTAAAATTTATAGGATTTTTTTCTCACAGTAAATATAATCTCTATATACTAATCCTGCTTTAAAAACGGGCTAACCATCGTGCCACGTCGCCCGTTAAGCCGTAAGCCGTTCGATCTGGCGAACTTGCGATGGTGGCCGTTCGATTGCGGATCGATTTGGTCTCTACCCGTTTCGTTGTAAACCCGAAACCTCGGGAACCTTCTCGGGCTCATCCGGCGAGCGAGCGGCGGCACGGGCGCCTGCAACCAGCGAGACATCCCGGCGCAGGCGCGGAGGCCCCGGACGCTCCGGTCCCGGCCATCCCGGCGCGGGCGGGGGCCCCAGCTGCCCGGAGTGGCGGCTCCGGCCACCCCGGAGCGGCCGGCGGGCGCAGGCACGGCGGCTGCGGCCACCCCGGCTCGTCCACCGGCTCCGACTCCCTTCCCATTGCCGCGGCTGCAGCCTCGTCCCTCACCTCCCGCGGCGTCCAAAATGGCGGGTGCTACCGCCAGGGCGTCGAGCCCAGACCGTCCCGAACCTCTCCTTGAGCCCACGGCCGCACGCCTCCGCCGGAAGCCGCCAGCGACAACTACGAGCGGCGTTGGCGCGCAATGCCGCACCTCTCCTGCTTGGCTCACGTGCATCCACGAGCAGGCCTTCCTGTAGGCAGAGGCAATCTTGTGCGCGCGGGCGACGGGTCCTCCAACCGTGTCAGATCTACGGCGAGCCGCTTCAGTTGTTGTCTCAGGCGGCCGAGCTCCAGGTACCCCTCCTGTTGCCCCTCTCCACCCCATCCGGTGCTTCTACTCATGGTGCAAAGGGGCCCCTCCCACGCAGGCATAGATCTTGTGGGGGGCAGCGAGGACGGGGCCTGAATCGATCGGCGCGGCGATGGCAATGCGTCGTTGGAGGTCGAAATCTACAGCTGCACCTGCTCTGCATCTACAGAGTGAGCTCATGCTCCTCGGCTATGCACTCGCTGGTGAGGGTTCTGTGGATCCAGATCCGCGACATGATGAGGCAGTCCTCCAGCGCTTCAGCCCGTAGGGGATGGTCGGCATCAACCTCAAAGCCAAGCAGTGTCACTCCAGCTCCAAGCACGACGTCCCTTTGCCTGCCTGCGATTCTTGCTTGGGAGGTAACTTTCAGTAGTCTGCATAGTCATTTTGTCTGTTGCCAAATGCAGTTGAAGCCCCCATGGCAGGAACGGCAGTATATGTTCGATGAAATGCGTCTGACACATGATGTTTCTATTTGCCAAAATCTAAAAGGTTTGGTCTTTAACAACTTCTGTTTTTAGATAAACATACCTCTCTTTTGTACCTTAGGACTGATTCCTTAGCTAATCCTAAGTGTCTCTATGATGCTGATTTCTGTCGAGTGCTCCTACTGTATTACCCTTAACATTTGCTTGAATTTACATGTCACATCAAAATAGAATAACATGAGATACAGGAAACACCTGTAAGCAGCTACTGTCCAGAGAGAGGGGAAAGGAAAAGCATGAATGCCCATTGCTACTTGTCATTCTTATTCAGGTTCTGAAATATAGTGGTAATATTTATCTACAACCTTAATCGCAGACTGCTGCAGATCTTGACCCAGTATAAACCCACCTGGTGGCTCTACAACCAGGACATAGAGGAGTGCTACAAAGAAAAATGTAGCCTTCACCACCACAATATTATCTACTTATTCGCTACCATTGACTGTCATCCATTGCTCATCATACAGTGCTCTCTCTGATAGCCCTTCAATGCTCAAAGGTTCACTTGTTATTACCGAAGACCACCGTACCAAGCAAGCAAGGTCAGCCAAGGTCGTGCCTTCATATGCGTAGCAATCGCATCTTGTATACTGTTGGAAATAACTGCTTCAGTTTTAGTCGACTGAATACTTTTATAAATTGCTTGGCTAACAATCGTGTCTTCCTTTCTTATTAGTATCATAGATCTGCTTTAGTACAGGATGTTACTTTGGATTAGTATTCAGAACTGACAGAACCTTTGCTAGGTATGAATTCTGATTGTGTGATGGTCTCAGTGTTACTTTTGGTATGTACTGAAATAGATGGTCTCTGTGTTATTTTTGGTCCAACGATACAATATAGCCTGCTATTTCGTCAGTTGGATATTGTAGCTACATAATAGCTTTATGTTCTTTAATTAGCTCAGCTCATACCGTTGGTCAATTTCATTTACCAACAACCTCTCATGGAGCGCAAAAGTTTCTAGTTTCAGTTGATTTATCAACCAGCTTTAATACCAGGCCCCTCGTTACCCGTCCTTGCTTTTTATTTCCACACATTGTTTATTGCCACGGTTCGCACCAAGTCATAAGTTCGAATCAAAGAAGCGTTCCCCAGAGTTCGAATCAAACCTTGCTCTTTCTCTCTCTTCTCACGGTTCGCCTTTTAATACACTGGAGCTGCGCAGCATTTGAACGAAAACGCATTCCATTTGCACAAAAGATTTTTAAGGGGTGCTCGGCAAAGATAGTTGCAGCTGCGGTCGCACCTACAGTGCTAACAACAATAGCTATGCAGACATAACCTAAAAAGCTACAACCATCTCTACCACTCTAGGCGTGAGATTTATAAAGATTGTTTGGATCACTAGAATTAACGACTAGTAGCTAAATTTTAGCTTACAAATATAAACTAATTACGGGGTTAAATTTTATTCATCCCCAACTAATAACTTTTTAGGTTCTCCTTGACAGAACTTTGACTTCTAAAAATCGGTGAAATGAGAAACTTTATATGGCTTCGGTTTAAGAAAAAAACAGTTTGAGCGACCGCTGTCTCTGTTTGAGTGGATAGTAGTGGTTGTCTCTGTTTGAATGGATGAGTCCTGTGTGATTTCTTTGATTCTCCAGTCCGGTGTAGATAAGCTGGCTCTATCGTGAGTACAGTATTTTTTTTCTCCGGAAGAAAAAAACAGTTTGAGCGACCGCTGTCTCTTCGGCAGCGTTCGGATTATAATCCGACTTATAAGTCATAGTAAAGTATTTTTCTCTCCTAACAAATCAGCCATATAAATCAGCTTACAAGCAGCCGAACAGAACCATTATAGCTGCAAGAGCTACGGTGCTGCCTCTACCGTGAGTGCTGATGATACACCGGTGATGGTGCTTGTGAATATTTTGACTGCAGTGGGGATCAGTCTGGGTGTCGTTCCTGGAGGCTGTATCGTATCGTGAATTATTTACTACTAATTGGTTTAGTATTCCTGGCTAGAAATTTACGATCGTTTACGAACAAGCGAACACGCTGATTATCAGTTGAACCCCGTAATTAATTTCTGTACCTCATAATGTTTCTGGGCTGAAAGTTGATACTGCCGTTAGAAGTGTTCTCCCTTCCCCCGCTACTAACTGTTAACGCCATTGGATCTAAACAGTGCCTAGAGCTAGCTAATTCACACAGATCCTGTAACGCAAAACATAATCACAGAACTTCAGCTAACTGATTGAATACTGCATTCTTGTAACCGAAGTATCATCACATTAAATACGCGCGGGAAAACTTGACCCAACAGTAGTCGCACAAAGCGAAACAACAAATTTGCCGCCACCGTCAGACTTTATCATTGCTACTACTAATAGCAGCCACGAGCTGACTACTGCTGGGCGCACTGCACCCTCTGCGCACCGCCCGGCATTTCCTCATCCTCGTCGTAGGCCTCCTGGTGCTGCTGCTGCCGCCTCCGCATCTCCTCTTCGATGTTCACGTCATACGGCATCGTCTCCTCGCACTCGTCCAGCTCCATGTCAGTGTACTGCGACACTGGCTTGGGCGGGAGCACAGCCTCCAGGGCCTTGCACTGCTCAGGGCTAAACGAGTCCGGGAACTCCACCGAGAAGTGGATGTACAGCTTGCCCTTCATGAAGGGCCTCTGGTACATGGGCATGCCTTCATCGTTGATCGCCTTGAAAGAATCTGCACAAATTTATAATAAACAGTGAGCATTGGCCAGATGCACGAAGGCAGAATCAAGAGTTGAGTGCTATCTTTCATGTTCAGATCACCCACCAGGCTTCACAACTTCACCAGGATTTGATTTGATCAGCAGCTGCCTGTTATCCAAGTGAGTGAGAACAAACTGGAAGCCACACAGAGATTCAGTCAAGATCAGTGTGTGCTCGTAGAAGAGGTCATCGCCCTTTCTCTTGAACTTGGGATGCTCCTTCTGCTGGAGAACAAAGATGATATCTCCAGTGACAGTGTCAGGCTGCACACAAGCACAAGATAGTTAAGACCCAAGGTTAATTTGGTACAGAGGAAGCAAGGTTAATTTGGGCCAGAGGAATAACTTCAGAACTGAGGACTGAATGAGTTAAAGAGTCATTACCGCTTCATCAGCTTCACCAGGGAATGTGATCTTCTGACCGTTCTGCATACCCTTCTCAACTACCACTTCAAGAACCTTCTTCTCCTGCACAACTTTATCACCCTTGCATTGTGGGCATCTATCCTTGTCGTTGATGGTCTCTCCAGAACCCTTGCACTCGTTGCAAGGATGCTGCATTTGCTGAATCATTCCAGGTCCCAACTGCCGGATTTGGACCTTAAAGCCAGAACCTTGGCAACCAGCACACCTCGACGAAGCTCCAGACTTTGAACCCTTACTGCAAGATTGCAGGATTAGAACACACCATGTGAGATCCTGAAAATCTAATCTATAAAGCATAATTGGGCTTTTGGCATCCCTTTGGATTCAGATGACCTACCCATTGCACTTGGAGCAGAGGACATTGCGGGACAGCGAGAGCTTCTTTGATGTACCATTGTACAAATCCTCCAGAGAAACCTTCAGAGGATGAACCACATCCTCTCCCCTTCGCTGCCTTCTGCCCCTACTGCTGCCACCACCTTTGCACAAGTACATACAGCATGAGCACTATGTAGGTGATTCTCAATGTCAATGACATTGCATCGGTTTCTGTTTCGCAACATACCTCCAAAAGGGCTGCCACCACCAAAGAATGACTGGAATATGTCAAAGGGATCATGCATCCCTCCACCACCTCCCATTCCCTCCTTGAGGGCATCCTCACCATACTGATCATAAATCTCCCGCTTTTCAGGGTCACTGAGGACCTCATAAGCCTGAGCTAGCTCCTTGAACTGAAACAAAAGCATGAGTTCTTAGTTTCCATCTCATTCAGAAATTAAAAGCTCCATTCGGCCATTCATACAGCCTTACACCCAAACATAACCATATTCATGCAGATTAGGCAAATGATCACCACTGGTTCTATCAAGCAAGAGCAAAGCACCATCATTGCATAGTTGAATGATAACATATGGTACAAATCATTCTAAAGAATCAAATCGCACTACAGAATTATAGATATAATTCATAAGCAGAATGTGCATATTGACATTTTTTTAGGATATAGGAGCATTACTACAGAATTATAGATATAATTCATAAGCAGAATGTGCAGATTGACATTTTTTTAGGATATAGGAGCATTCGTCTATAGTTCACGATTCAAATAAGTGAAGCATTTCTAGGGTCAGAGCATTCATCTAACAATTCAGGGACTCAAATCAGTGCACCAATTTTAAGAATCAGAAGAGCACACTACAATATTCAGGTTAGGGAAACTGAACTAAGCATGTCCCTCAGTTCCTCAGGTAAGTTTGGCAATCAATTTCACATTTTTTTCATCAAAAGCTACAACTTGACCATTATACTAGCACTAGCAAACCAAACCATCTATTACAAAAACAACAAACAGGTCTAACAAGACTAAAACGGTATCATCAGTAAAATAAAAGACCAAGCAAGGCATTCTGCATGATCAACAAGCTTTTGAATAATTAATTGTTAATTATGCGATCAAAACTACATAGATCGACTAATTCCAGGGGCATGAACAGCTCAAGATGCGTCTCGGTAGCAGCTAATAATCATAACAGTGTCCATGCAACTAATAAACCTAATAGTTTCCATGCAACATCTACTTCCCCATACGAATCCCTCCACCACCCCCAACCATCAAACCCATCTAATTCCACGCCTCCTCAGATCCGATCAACCGCCCCCCACCCACGAGCACCAGAATCAAAGGAAATCGACCTAGAGAAACCGTCTCAACACCGCCGTAAACCTGACAACCCGCCTACTACTCCCCGCCGCGGACAGATCGGAGCCAGACGAGGAAACCAGCCGGCGCGCTCACCTTCTCGGGGTCGCCGCCCTTGTCGGGGTGGTTCTTGATGGCGGCCTTGCGGTAGGCCTTCTTGAGGTCATCCTGGGAGGCGTCCTTGGAGACCCCGAGGATCTCGTAGTACCGGGTGTTGTCGCTCTTCTTCGGCGCGCGCCCGAACATCTCCGAAACCCTAGTTGTTTGATCCGACGGGACGCGTGGTGTCGCGCCGGGAGAGGTTTGTGAGGAGGAGGTAGAGCGGGGCGGGGGTAGTTATATCGTCGGGACGGGTGGTGGGGAGTGAATGCTCTGGAAGCTGCAGGAGGCGGGGGCGGGTGGCGCGCGGCCCGTCGGATGCGGATCGGGCGGTCTCGGCCCGAGCTTCCAGATGCTTCCGGTGTCTTCCTGCGAAAGGGCGAGGCGAGGGGCCGTGGGGCGGGCGGGGCTACGGGGAGCGCGTGTTGACGCGACTCGATTCTTGCGTGGCTGTGGGTCGTCGGGTCCGGGCCCCGGGTCCCGGGTCCGGGCTGGAGGGAAGCGAGCCGTCCGATGAGTTCCGCACGTTTTGGAACTTGGAATTTGGAAAACTGGAAAGATCCTTTGTGCTTCCCGTTTTGATGAAGAGGTGGTGGCCAAAGACTCTTTTTTCTTTTATATTTTATTAACTTTTTCTAAAGTGAGGGCATCTTCATAATCTTCTTAAAAATCGTTTGGTAGACCACGATTACGCCATATATATAAATAAAAAAAAAAATAAACTTTGGCTTCGTTCAACTGCGCTGGTCGTGGCTAATCCTATGAGAGCCGTGTAGTGGCAACCAGTGCAGCCAAGCACTCCCTCTAATTTTACCTTTTCTTCAATAGTTTATTTATCTTCCTAATAAAACTCAAACATAGAGCTAAAGGAGAGAAACCGGGCAAAATTACAGTGAGAGGGCACCCGAGTGGATAGCAAACATGGAAGGCATATGTGTATTTGAGAATTGAGGGGTAAATTTACCAAGCGCCTATCTCTATAGAGTTACGTAAGAAAAACTATTGGAGGTCTGTTCCCTCTTTTTCCTAATAAAAGAACAAATTAAAGAGTTAATTTAAGGACCATTCGGAGATACTGTAGTATAATAATACTCCCTCACGCTTCTATCTGTGTTTTTAATTAATGGATCATATGCGATAAAAGCATAGGGTTAGTATATGTGACAGATTTATATTGATTCTGGCATAAGATATCATGTGATATATCCATGTATATGTAGTGTTTTATTGCTCTTTATACTCTGGTCGGCTGTTCTATTTTCAGTTTGGCTACATAAAGTTCAATCAAGTTTGTAGAAGAACGTCAATATTTGTGACATCAAATAGATATATCAACAAAAATTTATTGCACAATAAATCTAAAAAATGAATTTATATAAACATATTCAAATCCAAACCGGTTTAAGTCGGTGCTATGTTAGAATTGTATTTCTTTTTCATGGTGGAAGGAGTTCAATACAACAAAGTATGCACCATAGTTTTATGCGGGACAACTTTACAATAAACTCCAATCCATTGTCATTTTTTCGAGAAATCATTCATTTTCAAGTTTGATCAACTATATATATAAAAATATTAATATTTATGTGCATAGTTATTATCATTAGATAAAATACTAAAGAGATCTTTTACAATGGTTGAAATCGCTTCCTAATGCCTCCGCAAAATAGCCATTTTTATTGATTTAATTAAAATAAGGGTAATATGGTCATTGCATATATTTATTATCACTCCGCCAAACCCTCCTCCCCCCCGCCGAAATATCGCCGCACCGGCTTCCCTCGCATAATCGTCTAAACTTAATCATATCGATACAAATCGTCGAGGGCCAGTTGTGCCCTGCCTATAAGGCATTTCAGCACACCCAGCCAACGGCGCCTTCAGCAAATGGCGCGGTTCCCAGTAAACAAATGACGGATCGATGCTCTCTCGAAGGGTTATGAGGATGCTATTTAACCTCATAAACCGGATCATCGCTAGTTATAGATCACGGGATTACCACTAGACGCCAGTGCGGTAAGACTTCGACTTGTAGCGTTGTCGCAGTGCAAGGTCGTCTGGTCTCTTTTTATGGGTTCGTCCTTGTGCTCCGGATGCACCTCCGAGGGTATCCACACGTATATTCCACGAGGAACAAAGAGCGCGCGGGCGTATAGTGTGGCGGCTGCCAAATGGCGTGGATTCCTAGCCCCGACCCCACTTATTTATAGGCGTCCCTAATGAGCTCCCCGGTTGGAGGCCCATTAGTAACCCTAAGCCTTGTCTAACTAGGATCCAATCCGAATTAGGCTTCCAACCCCTTAAGCGTGCGACCCTATGGGTTCACGCCAAACATGGCCCGAGTACTCCTACTCGGCCATTAGTTGATAGCGGCCTCTAGCAAGGCATGAACTCCTATGCGTCGAATTAGACGAACCACCACATTACATACTTGTTATTCCCTTGCCTCCATTTTTGGTCCAACTTAGGTTAACAAACCCAAGCACGGCCATGCATTTCTTGAAATCATTATGATTATCTCTCTCATATAGAGATTCCATCTTGATTGTCTATGTCTCAAGCATGTTTCCCGATTTTAAACTACAAATAGCGTTTTAGTCCTTGAGTAGGTCGTTTCACATCTTGAATACATATAACAATCTCAGGTCTAAGGACATAACGTAATGATGTGAATAGAGATAATAACAACATCTCACGTTATCACGGTCCATTCATGTCATACATGTGCCCACATTATTAGTTTGACATCTCCATGTCTATGACTTGTGAAACATAGTCATCAACTAATAATGTGTGATCCATTATTCACGTCTTCACACGAACTAATTAGAATAACCATACAAGTAAAAGAGTTTCAAAACAATTCACATAATTGCTAATCGATACAGGTTGTCTTTAATGAAAATTCAATGAACTCATAATATATCATGGATACAAGGCAATATAATCATCTCTATGATCGTCTCCACCTCGTTCAACTTGGCGCCAGGGACTCCATGGCGGCGAGCTCCTCCATCTTCGGCACGACAGCCGTGGTCGCGTCACAAAGCTTTAGATCAGCAATCAAGGTGTGTGCCCTGAAACCCTATCAATCTAGAAGTTTTGCTTCAAAATCAGTTCCTTTTATTAGGTGTCATTCAAATAGGAATACTGGAAATGATCGTGGTACTGTTCCTTGCTCCTTAATTCTTGTAGTCTATGCTTAAGCTAGAAGAGGTCTAGAAGTTCCTGTAACATAACTGCACTTTCCACGTAACATAACTGCACTTTCCACCAATCTGTGATGCTGTTTTACTGTAAGTTACATCCCAAAATTTTGAAAGGAAATAATGAATGCATTGTTAGTGTTAGTCATTGTAGAAAGTTTCTGGAAATAGCTATGCAACCGTATGAAACCCACCAGTAACAAGCAAGTTATGCTTCACTGCCAAAGTACTAACTGGAGTTTGACAAAATCTCTCGTAGTAATTCCCATGGACCATGGTGCTTCTGAAGTCAAAGCACAAAGAACGTAAGGCTGTGTTGCCATAAATCAAATAGACAAGGCTCTGCAAGAAAAATGACAAGTTGAAATGATCATTCAGACCGCACATGGTGTGACATGTCCTTGCAGATCAATGACTTCTTGCTTCTTACAGGTCAGTGTTGACCAATGAAAAGATCACGTTTCTGTGCTCTGTGCGGTCACGTTTCTGTGAAAAGATCCAAGCAGGACAGAAAGAAATGAACATGGAGGGATTTTTAGAACATGAGCTTACTTGTATGTTTACCAGGAAAGTGAACATTCCCTTATCAGCAGCAACCTACATTAGTAAAGGTTCAGTTGAAATCATCATGTAGCAGAAGCACTGTATTAGTTAGGAGAAGGAACACTAATCTAAATCGATATGCAACAATGGTATTTTATTTGAAAGGAAAGTTTTGGTTGAACCAACAGTCCTCCGAGACAATGGTATTCTACTATTCCAAGTTTGCATTGCGGTTACAGAAAAAGTGGGCTAAGATAGGAATGTGCCATTAAGCAACCATGACAGGTTTTCTGACCCGAGCCGCAGATCCTTTCCGCCTAGCAACGTGATCCATACGCTTGCAGCATGTTCGGGAGGCCGTAAACGATCGTGGATTATTTACTGTTGGCTGGTTCGATGTGAGAGAAAAATACCGTTCTGGCTGAAAATTTACGATCCTTCGCAACCAAGCGAACAGGCTGTCGCGAGCTCCATAAGATACTTCCCTGCTGGTACCTGCAAGTCAAATGACAAAATACTAAACACTTGATTGCCTGCTAGGCTACAAAAAGAAAATAAACCAATTGTGTCACTTGAACGCCTGGACCTTTGATTTTTCATGTGGAAAGGTCTTGCTACGAACTTTAAAGATCTTGCTATCAGGTACTGCCCGACAGTTACGACTTTTCTCATTTGTATCCTGACGAATAATGCCCGAAAACCAAGACAAATCTATTGGGTCTGAAGGACCACCAAATAGAATGGCAAAGGGGTCAGGTTAAGACATAACTGGGCAACCTATAAAGTCATCAATCAAACTAAAAGAATGGAAATTTGAAAAAAAAAACCCTGAGCTCTTAGCATCACTGTCGGATTTGGTAGGTTCTTCCTGTACATGAATTGCAATGAAACTGTGAAGTGATGAACAACAAAACTTTTGGCAAAGTACAAAAGTAGGGTGAATGTTTTTAGGGCGTGACTGTAAAACAGGTATTCACCTCCAAATCAGCTTCAGGGACTTGATTTAAGGAGACAACAGGGGTAACCTTCAGATAGAGTTACCTTCCTTGCCTCTGCCGCTCCATGAGCAAGGGAAGGACGACGAGAGGCTGAAGAACTCCGTGGCAACATCTTGATGACCCGCACGGCCACGCCGTTAGCCCACCCGCGGCCACCCGCGCCACCGCCGCAGCCTTTGTCTCCTGCACGGCGGGTCCATCGCGGACGAGGCGGAGGGAGCCATGGATGCCGGCGCGGACGAGACAGAGGGACACTACGGGACCTGGGAGCACGCGATGGGACCCTCCCGGCAGCGGGGACGGCCGCCGCCGCTGTGACCGGGAGCGCAATCCTGGTTCACTCCTTGGGACGGCCGCCGCCGCTGTGACCGGGAGCGCAGTCGCCGCCGCGGCCTCCATGTGCTCGGTTGGGGAGCTGAGGGCTGGTGAGGAGGGGTCGGGCCTGGATCTCGCCGGAGACGACGCAGGAGCGGCGCAGCGCGTCGAGGTCCTACCACGGAAAGATGGCGGACAGCGGCGGCGAATGAACCCTAAAAAAACAAAAATATTCATATTTTTTTAAAAGTAAATATTCATCTAACTATAGTACTTAAATCATACATCCCAACTATACTACTCAAAACATTATTTTTATAATTATGAATTTACCGTTTTACCCTTAATTAAAAAAAACTACGAAAAAGGAATTACCACTCTTTTATTTGAAGTCATAATCCTCTTAACTTTGGAGGCGTTGGGAGGCGTTACGACGTATATGGGCCCACCGATCATAGACACATCCAATGCCTCCCGACATCTCTCTCATTGACGCCTCTCAACGCCTTCCCTCATATGGGCCCATCAATCATTGACACAGCTAACGCTACCTGATGCCTCTCCAATTATAATAAAAAAGTTCAATACTAAATATACTTTCATAATAATAAACTTAATCAGAGATACAAATGTTGCTACTATTTTCTACAAACCCTGTCAAATTTAAGAAACTTTGACCAACATGAACCTCGTAGCGACACTCTTCTTTGGGACAGGAGTATATTCTATAGTGTCGCTGGAGGATAATTAGCAAAGTCCATTGGTATGTACTCACTCCATTTAAAAAAAATGCAATTCTCAAAGAGCCAAACAATTCTCACTTTAGTTACCTCTATGAGAAAAATATTAATATTTTTTATATTTAGATTGGTTACAAAATATAATTTATATTGAATTATTTATTTATAAATATAAATACAAAATATTTTTCCTATAAAATATGTTAAACTTGAAAAAATTTGGCCAGTCTCAAACTTAGAGCTGCCATTTTTTTCTAGGACAAAGGACGTATTTTGTCTATATCAAAATATAGATCAACTTCCGGCTATATCTATGGTTGAAGACCTTCTATAGTTTTGTTTTGAGTTAGTCCCGGTGGATCTTACAGATTTCAATTACAGACCATGTTATATTTCGAGAACGCCGAACAGCTTCATCATGACAAGAATTTGAATCCGGCAACCTCCAAAAAACCAAATTGTGCCGTCCAACAAGACTTCATAGATTACTGGGCTTTGTTTAGTTCCAAAAAGTTTTTCCAAAAATTGCTACAGTAGTCGTCGCATCGAATCTTGCGATACGTGCATGGAGCATTAAATGTAGATGGAAAAAAAACTAATTGCACAGTTTGGTGGGAAATCGCGAGACGGACGTTTTAAGCCTAATTAGTCCATAATTAAACACTAATTATCAAATAAAAACGAAGGTGGTACAGTAGCCAAACTTTCTATATTTCGCCGAAAACCAGGCCTGAATGATGACGGGCGTACCGCGTACCACTGTACCAACCGTGGACTAACAAGGACAAGTAACATGGCGGCATGGCGCTCAATCAACCACCTGTTTCCGAGGAGAAAGAGCATCTGTCGTTTTCCTATCAGTAGCCGACTGCCCGGTTACTGTTCAGTAGCTGCAGCAGAGCACTGATAGTATGATGATGGGCTGATAGCACGTTAATAATATAATAATTTGATTTCCTGAGCGGAATCTCGAGACAAACCACACATTTCATCCAGTCCATGGAGTGCGCTCTATCATCAGTGTCAGAGAGCAATGTAGGCTCACATAGCTCCGTGGGAAGGCCAGGTTTGCTGGAGAGAGAAACCTTTTGGAGCTACTGAAAATTGGTTTGGTTTATTTTGGCCAACAAACGAATAATAGGCAGATCTTAAATTTCTACTACTTGATGAATTTTATCTGTATCGATGATACTACCACTCGTGGACTTAAAACAGGGTAAAAACTGGCCTAACGCACATGATCCTCCCATGATCTCAGAAGAAACCACTCACAAAAATCTGCAGCAAAGTGAGACCCTCTTTGGCAAGGCTCTCCTGACTCCTGCTACAGTGCCAGAGGAGCCGGAGTGGAGGAGCCAGAAAACGTGGCTTCCTTGGGCTTTTAATTCATTTCACGAGGAGAGAGAAAAACAGCTCTCTGCCACGGTAGCCGGTTCAGGAGTAGCCGGAGCCCCTGAAGGCTCGCCAAACATGATCTGAGACTGCTTTCAGGTGACGGTGTGCACGATTCGCTGAACCCCAGCGTGATTTTGTCCCGGTTCTTGGACTCTTGGAGCCCAGCAAAAAGGGCGCCTGAAATTCCAGTCCACTTCCACAGGATGAGGGGAAACGGCAACAAAAGGGGCTTCTCTCCGACATGCGGTGCAGAAAGTGAAAACGCGAGAAAAGCGCCGTCCTTTCTTGTTTCCTTCCGCCCCCGTCTCTCTCTCTCCTCCGTGCCGTTGCCACTGTTGACTGTTGCCACGCCGCAACCGCAACACACCACGCAGGCGGCAGCGAGCGCAATAATGCGCACGCAGAGGAGCACAGCGGCGTCACTGCTGCGGCAGTAATGGCCGCCTGGTTCCACCACGGCGTCTACTAGCGATACACCGAGCCCACCCTTCCTTGGTTCCTTCAACACGCCCCCCTCCGGCCTCCGGATCGCGCACCTTCTGCCACCCCCAAAGCGCTCCCGGAATCTTTGCCAAGCGGCGCCGGTTACTGGCCGGCAAGGCGACCCCGTCTCTCGGCCGGCGTTGATCTGGTGATGCGCTTTTCATGGTGTTCTTTTTCCACTCCTTTTCTCCCTCCGTCCTGTGAGATTGTGCTGCATTTTCTGTGCCGGTGCTGATGGAAACCGTAAATTTTGCGTCTTTAGGTTACTATATACGGTTGAGGCGGGCGGAGCGGCGGTGCGATGGGCATCTCGGCGAGGTGGCTCAAGTCGTTAGTTGGGTTGAGGAAGGTGGAGCGGCAGCAGCAGCATTGTAAGGAGGATGCAGATGTTGGACGAATGGTACGCGCCGGGTTTCTTCCAATCATTATGCAGTTCTGGCGTATCTTGGTTCTTAAATTGGTGGTTGGTGCATTCATTTCGCTTATTGCCTAGACCTATGTGGATTATATAAGAATCATTTAGTATCCGAGTTAATTCAATTAAAATTGTTATAGCAGAAAAAAGGGTGAACTATTTAATCAGACTTCTTGATCATATCATGACAAATCCTAGGTGTGTACTGATCATTGTTAGTTATCCATCCTTGACTGAATCAGAATTGCACTTGTTAATTCCTTATGCACTGTTTGTATTAGTTTCGATTTGTACTGCAGAGAGCGTATTGTTAGGTAATTGTTACCTGCTTTGTTCAAAGCTTGCTTAAATACTTGACTTCATTGGCGCTTCTTGAATTCTGAGAACAAAAATTCTTGGTGGTTATGCAATCACAAGAGCTTCAAATCAACTGATAGATAGGTATAACTTAGTAACGCCAAACCTTGCCTTCTGATATACATGTGGAGGACATATATTTGTGCCACACTTCCCTCATTAACCTGTTATGACTTATGAGTATGCATCATTTTGCTTACGAGTTGCCAACTGGGAAAGTGCAGAAAAGCGATGTCGCCGATCAGTTTCATTTTCAGAATCAGCGCTCTCAAGATGACAGCAGCATTGCTGCACAAGAAGAAATTCCAGAGGTTCCTTATGGAAATGATCCACCTGAAGTTGATTCTAATGCACCTTCATGCTTGGAACCCACTTGTGGTTCAGCTCATGTGCCACTGTCTCAAACTGTAGAGGAACTGGAAGAGATCTGGGCTGCTACAATTATTCAGACAGCATTTAGAGCTTTCCTGGTATGCATTCATGTTGCCCTGTGGATTCCATTTACTGATTCAATTCATGCAAGTGTCGACTCTTGAAAATGTGTTCATCTCTAATATCTCAACAACCCGAATAAGCATTCTTATGCTCAAACACCTCTTTTTTTTTAAAAAAAATTAAAACTCAATTCTGGTTGTAGCTAATGTGAAGGGCGGGCCTGGTGCAAGCGGTAGAGTCTTACCGCCTGTGACCGGAAGGTCCACAAAGTAGGTTCGAATCTTGCCACCGACACCCTTCCCAGACATTGCCGCATTGCAGCGCTCTCTGACTGGTAACGCCTGACACCCCTTCACCCTAATGTCAATGCAATTTTGATTTCCTAGTGCAAAAGTAATTCAGCTAATCTTATGTCCTATACCTCTATGTCCATTCATGTTGGTACCCAGTGCTCCTGTAGTGATGCTTGAAATCTGTTTGTTCACGGTCTGATTGTATATTACCATGTGCAACTGCGGAAGTTGGCAATATAAGTTTTCTCTACCAAGGAAAAAAATAGAAATTGTGGAAAGAAAATGAGTAATTTACCATCATTCTCACTTAATACTTTAGTTCCTTATAGTTCCCACTTGTGTTCCTTCTTCAGGCTAGGAGAGCCCGCCGAGCTTTAAAAGGGCTGGTTAGGCTTCAAGCTCTTGTAAGAGGTCATATAGTAAGAAAGCAAGCTGCTACAACACTCCGCTGTATGCAAGCTTTGGTCAGAGTTCAGGCCCGTGTTAGAGCAAGGCGAGTTCGCATGGCTTTGGAAAACCAGACTGACCAGCAAAATACTTCACCAGAGCACACGACCGAGGCACGTGTTAGAGAAATTGAGGTGAGATGCACAAGTTTATAAAACAAGGCATCCTATTATCTTGTCATTTATTTGGCTGATAGTTATATATGCTGATACTATTTCAAAAATTGTTTCCAAAAGACTATTTCATGATTTGTTTACAAATTACCATATTGTTCTTTTCGTTAGGAAATAACTGGCATTCCAGTACAATGTTCTGGTTTGTTTGTGAACTTTTACCATTGTCTTAAAATGCAGGATGGCTGGTGTGATAGTATCGGTTCTGTGGAAGATATCCAAGCAAAACTTCTAAAGAGGCAGGAAGCAGCAGCTAAACGGGAGCGAGCCATGGCCTATGCTCTAGCTCATCAGGTAGTTTATCCTGCTTCTACACCAACATATTCATAAACTGTTATTCTAGTAATAATATCACTGAAGTAATAAATCATAGATTAGAGTGAATATAATAATATATTGTAACACGTAAAACCTGTTCTAGTCTAAGGGGGTGTTTCGTTTCCCCTCATTCCTTGGCCTGCGTTATGTCTAGACCAGATCGGACGGTTTGTTTGGTTCATCCGCGTCAGAGCCAGGCTACCCTAACTCCGTAAGCCATCTGTACTGAGATAGCCTGTCTATCCCTGGTTCACAGAATCGGGCGACTAAGGTTAGCTAGGCTTTGGCTACCCCTCCCTTCCCGTTCCCCTCATCTCCTGCTTCTTCACCGCCGGGACAGATGATGTGAACAGCTTGGTCAAGCTTCTTCCTTGTCACCGGCGCGCCTATCCCTCGCAGTGCCCCATCTGCCTCTGTGTCTTGGTCCTTCATTGCTGCAGTTGTACTCGCCCTGTGCTGCCTTGCCGCACAGCGGCGCTGCCCACACAAGTGCGCTGCAGGGCAAGGAGCAGGCATGGTCTGCCCAGCTCCGGTGAAAAAGAGTGCCGAACATGGTTGGCGCCGCCCTGCGTGCACACGGTCAATGGATCGATTGTTCTTGGTGCTTTGGTAGAAGAAAAAAAGTGAGAACTCGATGCATAGTAGATAGTTGGTCTCCATTGGTAGCTTAGTTCAGCTTTTGGCATGGTAAGTTTGCTAGGTCGATGAACTAGTTAGCCCTGCAGTCTGGTAATGGTTTGTACTGTTAGTACAAGGATGAAGTGATTTTCCAAAGATAGAATCACTTCGGGAAAAAAAAGCGTTTGGTGATGTGATCCTTACGCCACCATTATCCTCTTTGATTGGGTTGGAAATGTTAGTGCTTTTTTATTCCATGCCGACTCCTTGATGTCCTACATGTCAGCTGAGTTCATGCAGAGCACCCAACCAAACACGATCCTAGCTTGTCAAGTTTAACCATACAACTAAACACCATGGACTTGCCTTATGCTTGCCTGGCTATCCTTGACCAGGTCTAATCTTAGCCAGGTTCGGATGCTTGCTATTGTTTGACTAAGTCTTCCTTTCTTGGGGAACAATTGAAGTTGTTCTTCCCTGTATGCTAGCTTGACAATTAAGATCCTCATCTTTTGCAAATTATTCTGTTTGGTCAGCTCATGGTAGAATAATTACATTCTGTAACAAACATGAGACCTGTACTCGGAAGGAAAAATGGAAGATTCGTGCTTTGGTCCTCCCTGGGAGGCTTGGAGCGAAAGCACATCCGAGAATTGAAATTGCCTTCATCTGATAAAAAACAATAAGAAGGAATCCGCAGTGCGCAAGCGTTAGTAAGCCTTTCAAATCCTGGCATTCGAAATTCATAACTTGTTCCCCTCCTATTTCAGTGGCAAGCAAGTTCAAGACAAGCTGCAGCATTTGAACCTGACAAGAACAGCTGGGGCTGGAATTGGCTAGAGAGATGGATGGCTGTTCGGCCTTGGGAGAGTCGGTTCCTTGGCACTTATGCTGCAGATGGCATTTTTGTAGTTAATGAAACCAGGCAACCTGACAGAAGTGCAACGAAGATCCCATACAGAAAACCTGTTAAAAAGCATGATTCAACCCTTCAATCAAACACATTGAACCACAAGGTCTTCCCATCAAACTCAGAGGGTGGTGGCTCCTCGACAAATCGATCCAGTGGTTGGGCATCAGCTAAATCTAGACTGAAGGTTTTACCCAGAGAAGGCTCTGAGGAAGCCTCATCTCGTCCTTCTGTACTTGTTGTGCGGTCCACTAGTAACCCAAGGGAGAGAACTTCCAGTATTAACTCAAAGGAGAGGACTGGGGACTTGGATTGTCAAGTTCATAAAAGATTCTCCTTGCCTAGCATTGGTCAGTCTACTACCACCTGCACTGCTTCTAGCATAGCTTCTTTTATATGAAGATTTGGAAGGCATTTCTTGTTGTGCATATCAGCATATGGCATCTGCTTTGTTTTGGATACTCATACACAAGCTTGTACTTTTGGAAGTAGAATTTAACTTTCAGGCATGGGAAACATTCATATTTACACGGCTGCTTAAAGAAACATTCAAATTCATTGACTTGCTATTGGCGAATTACCAGGTTCAGAAGCGGTTAAACACTTGACAAAGAAAGGCACGGTTAACCGATCCCTGAAGGCCACAAAAGATTCCCACATTCTGGGGTCAAGGCATCATCTTGCCAGTTCCATTGATCCAGTTCCCACTAGAGTTGAGCTGGAGACTTGAGAAGGCATGTGACGCTTGAACATCGCCATGGATTGCACTTAGCAGCCAGATGCCCTTCTTGTCTGCATGACTGCATTGTAACATCCATGTTGTACTGGCGGAGACACTGAATATCCGGGCATGCCCTTGCGGTGTGCGCTTTATCAGATAAAATCAGATGCATGTCCATATATGTTGAGGTTACCATTGGTTTTATTGTTGTATTTGTAAGCTCTCGCTAGGAGAAGTAAATTTCTGTCGTCGAATGGTGTACTACTTATTATGTGTTGTCGGTGTATGGTATATTGGTATTGGTATAGTTGTAACTTGGAAGGTTAAGCGAGGTAAATCCATTGAACTGTTTTGTGGTACATGGTATTGCCGTGTTGGTATATATATAGATTTAAATTTGTATCTGGCGACCGATTACTCATGCTTTAGGCTCCCTCTGGAGCACGGAAAAATTTTCATGAATCATATATTTTTTTCTGTGTAAGTGAATTAATTCCTATAAAATTCTTGCGGTACCTATGAAAATCCTGTATTCTAAAGGACCTTTAGGGCCCGTTTGGATCATTGAATTGAATCCATTTTAATAATTACAATTTAGACATAGATTAATTAAACTAATATAGTCGTTTATGGAATATATTTGTATGTTTATTGTTAAGCATACAAGAGACATACTTATATGTTGCATTTCTATTGTAGGGAAGTGAATTAAAAAGTGTGCTATAAGTTGGAGAATAGAATTATAGCATATTGATCTATAGAATCCATTTCCATCTCTCACCCTATGAATTTGAGATGGACTTTTTTATGAGCTTGAAAATGTTATGAAATATCAAATTTCAAGCCAAATAGCGAATTTGAGATAGACTTATTTATGAGCTTGAAAATGTTATGAAATGTCAAATTTCAAACCAAATAGCCTAATCAATTATGTAGATTTTAATTCCTCCAAAATAAAAGAATCCAAACAGCCCCTTGGTAAATCATGCTTTCTAAAGGGGCTCTTATCCTTGCCGAGCTCCAACATGGCAGCAGCCGGCAATGACTGTCCATCACAAAGAGGGTGCAACCACATGGAATTGCGTCGGCGATACTTAAGGTCCAGTTTGAAAGGTAGACTTTCTGCTATTTATTTCGTAATAATCGTAAAAAAAGAATATGTAAAAGCTCAAGCCACATCTCTTCTGTGCAATTTTTTTTGATTATACAGTACAACTTAGAATGCACGCACACTCATCCGCGTGAACACAAGCACACAAACACTAACAAACATACGAATCCGTCGCCATCCAAGATAGAGGGCCGACGCTACCTCCATCTCCCGCTCCTCTAATTTCTTTCACGTACGTACGTATGATGTAACAGACTTCATCCCCATGTTACTGAGGTATGTATCTCTGATATTATGCACCTCTACAGCGGCATCGCTTATTGACAGACGATCTTTGGGTGATTGCTTTGAGCACAGCACACCAAGCTGGATAATAGCAGCCAAGCATTCCCTGGTTCTGGAAATATCTCCTGTGCCATTGCTATTTTTTGCTTGGTCATACAACCAGATTCTGGAATCTGCTATCTCCATCACCTGATCAGGAAGTGCTGCCTCAGCAAAGTAATGCAGGTTTAACCCGTCCCTGAACATGTCGTCTGTTGGGCGCTTTCCTGTAAACATCTCGATCAAAACGATGCCAAGGCTGTAAACATCACCGTGAGTTGATACTCCAAGCCCTTCTCCATATTCTGCAACAGATTAATTGAAATAGTTTCGAGAATAAACAGCTTTGTATAGCTAGTTGAATCTGATCAGGCAGTGAAGTAGACAGGATAGATGCATATTGAATTACCTGGAGCAACGTATCCGATAGAGCCTCTGACGCCGATGGTACTATTGGAATTCACACGAGTTTCTCTTGCAGCTTCATTTAGAATTCTAGCGATGCCGAAATCTCCAACACGAGCCCTCATGTCCTGAGTAAGAAGAATGTTGCTGGGCTTGAGATCGCAGTGGATGATCATTGGATGGCAGCCATTATGGAGGTAGTCCAATGCATCCGTGATGTCAACGGCGATACCTAACCTCTGCTCTAAGGTCAGTGCTGCATTTCTGCTCTGGCTTTCCATATCTGAATGGATCCAGCTATCTAAGTTCCCATTTGGCATAATCTCGAAGACTAGAGCCCTGAAGTCTTTACCTTGGTGGTCGATGCTTGAACAACATGTGATGATCTTTACAAGGCATCGGTGCCTAACTCTTCGCAGTGCCTCGCACTCAGCCTGGAAACTTTTGTATGATCCTGATTGCTGAAGATTAAATACCTTAACGGCTTCAGGAACACGTCCATTTTTTAAGGTGCCACTGTATACGGACCCATATCTTCCTTGTCCTAGGAGATTGGTTTCTGAGAACCCATCGGTTCCTTTGAGTATCTCATCATATGAAACCATTGGAAGCTCTATATCAGTGAAACGAGGTGGTAGTTTTTCTTCCAGGTGGGTTGCTGCCATTGCCATAGACCTTCTGTAAAGGAATGCGGCTAAAGAAAGCACTGAAAGTAAAACCAGGATAGCTCCTACTGTAGGCAATGCTATTCTAAGCGACGTCGACGTGGTTTTCTTATTGTTCCTCGCAGCAGAGTTTGGGCATTTTGGCAGATGAAGCTGTGGTATTCCACCGCATAACCTATCATTTCCAACTATTGATAGTCCAGTTAGATTCTTGAAAACTCCATCCTGTGGTACTTCACCTTGTAAATTGTTGAAGGACAGATCGAGACGGACCAGTGATGTTTGATTACCTAGGAGTTGTGGAATTTGTCCTGATAGGTTATTGTGGGCAAGGTATAGCTGCTGCAAGTTGGTAATATCCCCTAGGTCCCCAGGAATGCTTCCATTCAGCTTATTGCTTGTCAAGTTCAGTAAAGTAAGCCCTTTCATGTCTCCAAAAACAGGAGGGATGTTTCCTTGCAATAAATTGCCATCCATTAGGAGGATTTCTAGTACTACGCAGTTGCTGATGGTATCAGGTATCATACCAGACAGTCGGTTTTCGACAGAGAGAGCACTCCAAGATTCACAAAGTTACCAACCTCTGACGGAAGAGGTCCCTCCAGCAAGTTATCAGATAAATCCAGATACAGTAACAGTGATGGTAGGTTCATAACCTCTCTTGGGATCAACCCACTAAGGTTGTTGCTAGATAGATCTAGTGCTGACAGTTTCTCCAGATTCCCCATGCTTGCTGGAATCGGTCCCTCCAGGCTGTTGGCTTTGACAGTGAGTTGAACTAGACCAGTGAGGTTTCCGATGGATGACGGGATGCTTCCTGACAAGTTGTTGTAGCTCAGAAACAGCTTGTTCAGTTGTGTGAGCCTGCCTATGCTTACTGGAATGGCCCCAGTGAGCAAGTTCTCTCCAAGCATAAGCTGCTGAAGGCCTACCAGATTTCCAATGTCAGTTGGGATGGCGCCAGATATACTGTTGGAGAAAATCAGTAGCTCCTGGAGAGTCGTGGACAAATTAGCCAATGAATTTGGTAGCTCCCCTGCAAACCTACTGTTCCATCCCAATTCTAGTACTTGCAGCATGCTACAATTTGTCAGCGAAGTAAGGAATGCCCATTCTTGCTCACTGTATGCCTGGAACATGTTGTAGTCCAGGTTGAACCATTCAAGTTGCTGCAGTCTGCTCAGCGCAGAAGGGACGACTCCACTGAACTCGTTGACGGACACGTCAAAAACTTGGAGATTGGAGAGATTAGTGAGAGATGCGGGGACAGCTCCCGTGAACCGGTTACCTCCGAGCATGAAGAACTGCATGCTGCCAAGGGTTGTTCCGAAATCTTGTGGGAGACGACCGTGCAGATCGTTCTCCGCCATGGAAAGTAGCTTGAGCGATGACAGGTTGTACAGGGAAGGAGGAAACGTTCCCGAGAGGTTGTTCATGGAGAGCTGAAGGCTCCTGAGGTGTGGGTTGCCCCCGATGCTTTGGGGGATCGGCCCCTCTATGTGGTTGATCGCCAGGGACAGGTCCTCCAGCCGGGAGAGGTTCCCGAGCGACGCAGGGATGGTTCCGGTGATGCTGTTGTTGGCAAGACGGAGAACTCTGAGCATCGTCAGCATGTCGCCGATCTCGGCAGGTATTCTCCCCTGCAGCCCCCTGTTGCCACTGACGTCCATGACCTCGAGGCGGGCGCAGCGGCTGATGTTGCCCGGGATCTCGCCCGCAAGCGAGTTGTCCACCAGGTCAAGGTACCGGAGGCGGCGGAGGGAGCCGATGGTCGGCGGGATGTCGCCGCGCAGGGCGTTGAGGCTCAGGTTGAGCGACCGGAGGAAGCTGAGGTTGCCGATGGCGGGGGAGATGGTGCCGGCGAGCCCCCGGGAGTGCAGGTCCAGAGCGACCACCCTCCGCGGGTGTCTCTGGCCGCCGCACGTCACGCCCTCCCAGCTGCAGTAGCTGCCGTTCCGGGACCAGGAGGCGAGCGAGGCTCCGGATGCCGCCTTTGCCTTGAAATCTAGGAGCGCGCTCTCGTCGCTTTGGTGGCCTGTCGACGGCGGCGCGGCTGCAGTGGCAACTGCACGCCTACCCGCCATGGCGGAGAGAAGCAGCAGCAGCAGCAGCAGCATTTGAGCTTTCCTCGCATGGAGCTGCAGCATGGCTGACTGGCGCTGGCTGGCTGGCTGGCTGGTTCTTCCCTCTGGTTGACCCATCCTATTCCTGGCTGTTGGCTGGTGCCGGCTGAATTTGCGCCACTTCTTCCGTTGGTAATTGAAACAAAACGTCTGGTTGACCAACATTTAAGACTTATTCCTAGGAAATTTTAAAATTTGAGGACGCCCGACGCGCCTGTTTAATTGCGGGCATGTCTGTAGCTACAGTGATCACCGTAGGCATTTCGTTGACTGACTTAATTTGACTCTTATCCATAGAACACAAAGTTTGATGTGATGGAGAATCTTCTTTTTGCCTAGTATCAAATTCTGGAATTTGGAGAAACTAAACACCCCCTAGGACGCCCGACGCGCTGCATGTCTGTCTTGACTGTTGACTCCTTATCCATGAACACAAGTACAGAACCAGCTGGGATCGACTAGCGAGTCGCGACCCAGAATCCCGTTTGGCACGGTCGGAACTGACGCACGATCTCTGTTCGGGTGAGCCCGCTTTGCGTGAAGCTTCCTCTCCCCGCTTTCTGCGTTCCGCTTTCGGGGTGAACTGAAACACAGCCATCGTTGGATGGGGGCCATGGATGTTGATCAATCCGTTGGCCTATGTCGCTGTTTTCGTTTGGATCTTGCTAGTTTTAATGTGCTAACTATTACGTCTAATACCAACATTTTCATTGCTAAGAGATGGTAATAGATTCAAAGGTGAAAAGATGGTCCATTAGCACGTGTTGTTTGGATCCATGTTTGTTAATGTTAGATGCTAGCTATTATCATCAAGATCCTGACATGAAACTGTAGGAATATGGTGATGATTACTACCATGATTCTTGATTTGTAGTAGAACATGATTGTGGACTTTTACCTAAGCTCTAAACAACTGTGCATTGGTACGATTTATTGAAAAAAGTATGAAAGAGTACATTTTGCTAATTCATTGACCCTGTTTATGTTCGTGTCAGACTTCTGTAGAAAAAAGAAGCTTTTGTTTGTTAATATATCTCTAATATTACCTTTTGAATTCCTTTGTGCAAAAGAACCGTTCAATGGACCAAACATTCTTAAGAGCTAACCATCCTCAAAAACAAACATCCCAGTGTTAAACCCAACAAAACTTATTCTTTTAATCATGGATGATGTACTTATCGACAGCAAAACATCAATCTCGTGATCTGCCAACTTAGGTGTGTGGACACGTTAAGGGTCTTTTGAAGTACTCCCTCCATCCCTTTATATTTGTCGCCGTTGCTGTGCGTACCCCAAGTTTGACTCGATTTATAGAAAATGCGTGCAACATTTGTATCTCCAAATAAATTTATTAAAAAACTAGATTCAAAAATATTTCTAATGATACTAATTATGTACTATAAATATTAATATTTTTTAATATATATTTAGTTAAAGTTGTTTCTCGAAGCGTAAACGACAGATGTTTAGAGATAGATGGAGTATGTGATCTTTTAACTTTTTTTTCAAGAACGTGCTTAGCACGTGTTTTGTTAAGAAAAAGTTAAAAAGCTTACACGACTGTCATCACATCACAAGAAGGTGCCATAAGTAATGGGGGTGAACACGGACAAAAAGCACCACTAGGCAGTGGACATGCTGTTATGACTAACTAAGAAACTAATTGTGCGACCTAAGATCTTGCTCTGCGCTACCCGCTAGGAGACAACAACGAAGCTTCGTTGAGCAAACAACGCTCAATCCGACACCGGTGTCGCTCTGCCCTGCGCGCGCGATGTGACCTGCTAACCCGCTCTTTAGAAAGTTACTTTGTGTTTAGTTTGTCCTAGCCTCTTGGAGCCTAACAAGAGGTAAGACTTTAGCAGTATTTTTCAGCGAACGAATAATATTTTTCTCTCACAACAAATCAATATAAGTATCCGCATAAGCTAAATTCCAGCGAAGCGAACAGGGCCTAAGAAACTTGTGGGAGTGAAGGTGAACCGATTGTTTATTATACTAGATGAGTGCCCGTGCGTTGCAACGGGTGCAACATAAATTGAATGAGATATTTATTAGTCAAGTCAACATCAAGAATATATCAATTCAATTTTTCATGTGTGTTATACCATGATAATGTCTAGAAACACATTTATTATCGTAATGAATCTGAAATAAAAGCTAGGCTTGGAGCTTGTTGTCTAAAAGTTACGACAAACATCAATTGCCTCAAAGGCTAAAAATTTATTGCTAGTCATCGAATTGAATTTATCCATGCTCTGCCTTATCCCAAAACATGTATTCTCGGACTTACAATATCCTAGCCCGCATGAGCCATGACAACAATTCATTTTTGGGAAAAAAAAATATTTGTTGTAAACACACAGCGCGGAGGACGACGAACGAGAATTTGGATCACGATCGTGGTGATCATTGCGTGGTGATATTCTAATAAATTCTTTCTTTTCCATAATTCTCTTTCCGTTTTATTCCATTTTATTTACTTGCCTTCTAGTGCCTCCATGCGGTGATTATTTATCTTCCGTGTGTGGATGATTGACGTTGATTTTTTTCCCATGTGGTGATTATTTGTCTTCCATGGTTGTTTTGGTCCTCACCGATATGTTTTAGTTGTGCAGAATACTAATATAGATCGAAGCCGGCGCCAACGGGTTGGCTGCTTTAGCCGGAAGGTAGCTTAGGCGTTAGGCGATAGGCCTGGTTTTGTTAAAATCAGAATGTAGCGCCAAAGTTCATTCCTGCCGACGGTGACCCCGCTTGTACCTTTACAAATTCTAACTTCTTAATATAAGGGCACCCACAACGGATGATTCATAAGTTCTTCTAAGTATTTTTTTTTTCATATTTTAATAGAAGAGAGAGAAAAGTTAGCTTTATCAAGAATTATGCTCATACATTTCCAAAATCATGTGATAGTGTCATGTGGGGCCATTCATGTTATGAGCTACTCCCTCCATTCTAAATTATAATTCGCTTTGACTTTTTTAGTACACATAATTTGTTATGTATCTAGACATATTATATATCTAGATACATAGCACAATAGATATATAAAAAAAATCAAAGTGACTTATAATTTGAAACTAAGCGAATATATGCTAAAAGTTACCACTATTAGAAGTTGGCTTAGCTGGTATACTTATACGTTGCGGGTATCCTAATGATATCCAATGCTCTTGAATGCGAGAAAAATATAATAATAATATAATAAAAGAATGTGTAAATGCTGGGCTGGCAAATGGAAATGGGCTGCCCAGGCCCAACAGGAAGCCGTACCCTTTATTCCTTGCCCCCACGCGTCTTTGTAACGAACCTCCCCTCGTCAACGACCTCGTCCGTCGCGCCCGAGGCGAGAGAGGAAGCAACCCGCCCCAGTTTCGCGCTATGGCGGCGACGTCGTCGAGGCGCGTGTCGTTGCCGGTCCTGGCGGCCGCCGCCGTGCTCCTGCTCGCGTCCGTAGCCGCGGGCGACGACCACAACGGCGTCTACGACCCGTGCGCGGACGCGTCGGTGCAGCGCGGGGACGGGTTCACCTTCGGGGTGGTCTTTTCCGGGCGCGACTCCTTCTTCTCCGGCGGCGTGCAGCTCTCCCCCTGCGACAGCCGCCTCGGTCTCGCAAACCGCGCGCCGCTCGCGCTCTATCGCCCCCAGGTCGACGAGATTTCGCTCCTCACCGTCAACTCCTCCTCCTTCGACCCGGTGAGTCCCGCGCCATCGCCATGTTAATTATTAACTGCTTTGTGGATTTCGTGTTTAATTGCCAAAAGTTTGCGCGAGGTGTTATACGAATTATGGCATATGGATGCATATGACGAACCCTAGTTAAATGGGTATTTTGAACTCATGGCATCAGTGATCTATCATTAATTTCCTTTTCTTATACAGAAATAAATTTGCGAATGGTATTGGCTCTGCTAGGAAAATAAATTTAGGTTAATGATAGTATTCTTAACTGCGAAGAAAAACTTGAGTACAGTGCTTGCTAATAAGTTAGTCAGAGAAGAACTTGTCAGAAACGTCGGTGACAACGGCCAGCTTGGAGGGGTTAAGCCAAATCATTGAGGGAGCTGGACGTTGTTGTCCCATCGACGTGTTGAGACTGTGCCACTTTTGGACGCATTTTGTAGCTGAACAGGGGTAGGGCAAACTGTTCTTTGAAGCTGGGACACGCCTCGTGTAGTTCTGTGGTCCAAGTGTTGGGTTGTTAGCATTCACGATGCAATTTATTCGGAAGTTTATGAGCGTGCTGTCCTCACAAATTTGGAATGTCCCTGTTCTGCAATTCTACTTAATTGATTTCGTCAGGGAATTGGTTGGAGCTGGTGGGTTTCTATAATTTTTCATCTGCAATAGCGCAAATTTGAATGTCTATATAAACTTGCTGATCTCCATGATGAAGGCTTTTACACCACCATGGTATATGATTGTTCCACCATGTTTGTGCTCTTCTAGTAAGTATATATGTGAGTGGAATTATGAACTGCATGCGGTTGATTGCTCTCCTTAGATGATCGCGCGAATCGAACGTGTACAATTGAAATCACGTCTAGTGACTAATGCACAACCCTTTTTCACCCTGTTCCAGTCTTCTTCTGGTGGGTACATGGTAGCTTTCGCCGGGAAGAAATACGCAGCGAGGTCACCCCCGGTGTTCGTCGCCAACATCTCGTACACAGTGACCGGCTTTACCCTGGTACGCCCACGAACTGTACAACCTTTTTGCTGTTCTTCACAGTTCCTCAAAAGGGACATTTATATAACTTGGTTAACCGATCGAGCTCCGGCACCTGTTGCTGCATTGCAGGTCTTGGAGTTCCAGAAGGGCACGCTCCAGAACCTGTTCTGGAAGCCCGGCGGGTGCTCGTCGTGCTCGGGGCGCTCCGACTTCGCGTGCGTGGACGGCAGCTGCGCGATCAAGACGACGAGCTGCGGGGGCAAGGGCGGGCAGGTGGACTGCAACCCCGGGATCCAGCTCGCGTTCTCCGGCACGGACAAGCACGAGGCCGTGCTCAACTCGTGGTACGAGGTGTCCAAGCTCCGGCAGTACTCCCTGTTCGGGCTCTTCTCCAACCTCAAGGACTCGCTGACCAGCCAGTTCAGCAGCTTCTTCTAGAGCCTGCCCCGTGCAGTGTTGTGTGTTGACACGTCGCTCTGTACGCTTGCTTGTCTGTTCTTTGGTTATATCATGCACTATAGTTAGCGAATACTCCTCCTGTAGTTCTGTTTGTGATGACAGAAGAAATATGTATGTGTACAACGGCTATCAGATCAGTCCTATGTATGTGCAGTTTTTAATGCATATGAGATGGTGTAAGTTATGCGTGACTCCATTCATTTTTAGTTCTTCCGGTTTGCCATGCTACTTGTGCTGCTGCGCAAAGCCGATCAGCGTTGTTCCGGCCGTGCGCATAACGTCATCGGCGAGGAATTGTGCCCGCCCGTATGCGCCTGAGGTTTTGACTCTGACAGACACGTCAGTTGCTTGGAAGAAAATGGGTTTGCGCCGGAATTAGGCTTGACCATTTTCCTGGCAGAGCCGTGCCCGTGCGTGGCTTGCACGGGGCAAGCAGCGGGAGCCGAGGACACAGGAGAAAGGGAGAGAGCGCATCGGCAACGTCGCGAGGGCGCTAGGGGCGTCCCCGGCGCTGAGCCAGCAGGCGGCGGCGGCTTGGTTGGCCTGGCCTTGGCCGCGCTCTGCATCTGCCAAGGCGCATTCCACCAGCCTACCCTGGCGAGCTGCCCAACTAGGAGGAAGACTGGTGAGAGTGCGTCAAGTCTCAGGCATGCGTGCTGCGTAGGAGTGCGGACTACTCAACCACCACCGCAAAAGCAGGTTTGACTCGCAAGTTGCGATCCAAGGTCGTTCATCTTCTTCCCCCAACGCACATCGACAGCAAAAGAAAATGAATTGGCTCCAGACTCCAATCCATTTGTCATAAACAAAACCAGCGGTAAATAACTATAATCAAGTAGGCCGGATCAACTAACCGTATGTACGATACAAAGGCCACGAACAAAGAAACAAGAACGAATCTGGGGTTGGGGTAAAACCCAACAATAATCATCTCTCTCGGGGTCCCGGTGTATGCGTATCCACCACAAAGACGGCGACCTGATCACCGTGAACGCAGTCAGGCAGGCGGCGGGCTAGTTCTTCTTGGTGTTTTGGAGCACGATGGGGAGGACGATGACGAGGATGATGACGAGGAGGATGAGGATGGCGATGAAGGTCCACTTGCGCGTGCTCTTCTGGTGCTTCCTGGCCACCTGCAGCTGCTCGCGCCCGCGATCAACGAACGACCTGGCGCGGCCGACGTTCCCCTCGATGTCGTCCAGCTGCTCCCCCTGCACGGCCACCAGCACGGCCATGTCGTTGAACACCTGCTGCAGCTCCTGGAGGCTGCGCTCCAGCTCCGCCACGGCGCCGTGCCGCTCCTGGATCTCCGCCACCACGCCCAGCACCTGCCCTCTCCCCTGCTCCGCGATGGCGCGCTGCAGGAACCGCTCCCCTTCCCCGGACTCCGCCAGCGCGTCCAGCGTCGCCTCGTCGGGCTGGGCACCCGTCACCGTAAAGTACCGCCGCGCCACCGTGTCCCGGTACTCGGACGCCACGCGGGACCGCAGCGACGAGAAGGACTCCATCGAGTCACGGAGCTTCTTGCGCAGCCCGGCCACGACGGACATCCGGGTGCGGTCCGTGGAGGACCCCGGCCCGCACCCGGGCACGGAGCGGTTCGCGGCGTTGGCGCGGTCCAGCGACTCGAGCCGGAGCTTCACCACTTTCGCCTTCTTGATCGCTGCGCCCACGTCCGCGTCCATCCGCGCGCGGAGGTCGCGCACCGCGGACGCGTCGTGCAGCGATTTCCCCGCCTCGTTGCCGTCGTGGAGCGAGCGCTGGATGCGCTCCAGGTCCCGGAGCTCGTCCTTGATCGACTCCACGTCCTCGAAGAACCGGTCCAGGCTCGCACCCGCCGCGGCACCCGGCGGCGCAGACATCTCCACGCTGCCGGACTCGATGTCGCCGTCTCTGTCTCCGTCTCCGCCACCGCCGCCGCGCTTCCATGAGCTCGAGAACAAGCTGTTCATGGCAGCTGGCTGGCTCGCTGTATCGCCTGGATCAACTGGATCGCTCGCGCCGCTGCTATGCCTCTGGCTCTGTCTGGCTTCCCCTCACGGATCAAGGTCGTTTCTTGGGGTTCGCTCCGGTGGCTGGTTTCTTGGATCGGAAGATGAAATAGTGGGAGGGGCAGTTGGGCAAGGGGCGTGGAGACTCAATCATGCGAAAGGGAAGACGACGGACGCGGAGTTGAAGGAGTCGGCCGTGCCCAGGCATCCATGTGATGTGACGCCGTGGCGGGCTGGGCTTCGCGTAAGGCCGAGGAGACCGTGTGAGCGCGCGCCGCCTTGCTCTGAAATGGCAACGCCAACGCGGGAGGAAGGTGGGAGGAAGGAGAGGGGGCACGGACACGTACGAGCGAAGGGGTTCTTGGGACGCCAAGTCCAGGTCGGTCGCCGGATCACGCGGTGGCGTCGCTGGAAATCCAACGCCCATACAACCACCGCGCCACGCTGACCGCCTGACCGGAACAGCTGCCGCACAACGAGAGCAGAGGATTTCGTTTTCACTGGATGATGGCTTGCAAAGTTGTGAACACTCTTGATAGCATTCTTGTATTATTTTCTTTCCGCGAGACATCTCGTATATATAATAGCCCCGTTCGTTTCGCTGAAAAAATAAACAAAAATAATGTTCCGACTAATTTGTTGTGAGAGAAAAATAATGTTCCGACTAAAAAAAATAAGTAAAAAAGACATACTATAAGAGAAGCGGACATGTCAAATGTGTTTTATTATAATAAAGGCAATAATCATGCGAGGGGGAATGCAACGAACTCACATCGTCATTATCCTGTCCACGTTGACCCGACCCGATCAACTCAACTGCACAAGTATTAATTATTGTTAAAAAAATGCACAAGTACAGGTCCACCAGTCTGACTCGTACATATTTTTATTACACGTACAAAGTACTACTACACAGGGGCAAGAGGGAAATGGGCAATACGGTGCCTTGTAGCATATAGTGTCGTAGCCGTCGTTTGGCAGTCTCACTCTCGTTCTCTCTCACGGCCTGTTCGCCCGGGAATTCACGTCCCGGACTTTACCGAGAATCAGAGGAATAACTGCAAACGAACGGGCACTTAGGAGTATAATACCTACGAGTACTAGAATAAAGTATCAATTGGCAGTAATAATACTTGCAATTTTGCAAAGTGATGTAAATCACCATCAGTTTTGTAGCTACTGTACCCACCAATTGGGTTCGCGGAAAATAACGAGCTGGGCACGCCAATCCTTCGTGTGGCGTGCGTCACACATTTTTGTGCTCCACATGCTGCGTCACACGAGGAGTTCTCGGTGAAGGTGGCACTGGCCAAGTGGCCGGACCGGCGACGGCGTGTAAGGAAAATAGACCCTGCACTCATTTATTTTGAATTTTGGTGTTCGATGATCAACATAACTAAATTGGAGTAATAAATTTATAAGTAATTGTTTTGTAGTTTAATAGGGTGCAAGACGTGACATGAATGAAAACGATATGATGATCCCACAATCAACACCATAAGTAAGACCCTAGAAGCACAAAAGAAGACCCAATATATCTAGCAAAGTCTAAGCACAAAGATAGGAACCAAGCTGGACGCAAGATCGCGAAGAAACGAGCTTCACAGAGGTGACCGGACACAGTCCTTATAGCGACCGGACGCGTCCGATCAAGATGCTCGGCAATGGCAGGCGTCAGCAGCAGTGACCGGACGCGATGATGACACTGTTCACTGTCCCGACAACAGCTCAGCACTGACCGGACGCTGGAGGGTGATCGACCGGACGTACGAACTACAGCGTCCGATCGACTCCAGAGAGGTTCCAGAGCGGCGCCAGCGCGACTGGACGTGTCCGATCGACAGTGACCGGACTCAGCGTCGAGTCCGATCAACGCGCTAGCTTCAACGGTCGGGACGACCGGACGCGTCCGGTCAGGACGACAGCAGCGTCCAGTCAGTAGCAGAAAGGTGGGTTTCGTCCACAACGGCTACTTTCTCAGTGGGGCTTATAAATAGACTCCCAACCGGCCATTTGAGTAGAGTGGAGTTGAGAAAACATACCAAGGGTGTTAATACATCATTTTAGTGATCTCCACTTGTATAGTGCTTAGTGATTCATTAGGTGATTAGCGTAGATGCTTTGCGAAGTGCTTAGGTTGATTAGACCACCGCTTATGTGCTTGCTCTAGGTTTAGGCCTAGTGTTTAGTGAGGTTTGCATACCTCTTTATCACTCGGTGCTTGCGCGCACCATTGTTGTACATCGGAGGGGCTTGTAGTCTTGCGAGATCACACCAACCGTGTTTGTGGTGTGGCCGCCACCATGTTCCGAAGGGAACAAGGCCCGCGGCGTTCTGACCGAAAGCTTGATAGTAAAGACGGCGGGGAGGATCCGGGAGAGGCTTGCCGGAAGGCACGTCGGAGACCCATTTGTGCGTGGGGAAGGCCCGAGGCTATCCACGGAGTTACTCGACCGGGAGCTTGGCTCTTGCGAGGGATTCATTGCGAGGGAATCCAACGAGGACTAGGGGAAAACTTACGCGTTTCTCGATACCTCGATAAAAATACCGGAGTCATCAACGGGAGTTTGCATATCTCTACCTTACTCTTTAGCTTCCGCATTTACATTACGTGTGCTTTACTTTCCTAGCTTAGTGATAGGCTAGTTGATTGGTTTAGAACCTAGGTTGCATAACTCCTTTTGCGGTAGAGATAGCAATATAGTAGCAAAATCGTAGTTGTACATTTAGATAGTTTATTTTTTGCATAGGTTTTGCTAAGGGTAGAAAAAGAGGTTATAGTTTAGAGCTGAAATTTTAAGTTACCTAATTCAACTCCTATTATGCGTCACGGTCCTTACACGGTCCCTTACACGGCGAATGCATTGGATCGAGCACAGCCGCTCCCGGCCCTGTCTCGGCTCTGCACGCTTTGGCCCCGTTCGCTTCACTGAAAAAATAAGTTAAAACATCGTTTCGGTTGATTTATTGTGAGTGAGAAATACTGTTCCGGCTGAAAAAAAAGTTGAAAAGTACGGAATACCAGAGAAGCGAACGGGGCCATCGATTGCCTGCCAGATTTGGTAGAACATGATAACGAGTGGGGTAACGATGCGACAGCAACGGAAGGAAAAACAAAGCAAACGACTGACCGAACGAGGACGACGAGTCGACGACCCACTGCCGAACTGCCTCTGGAATGGCCGGCCCAGCCAGCTGGGTTCCCAATTCCCGTCGCAGGCGGCTCCTTGTGTGATCCAAAAAAATTTCTCGTCCTCCGTTCCGTCCATGTGATATGCATGCACGCACATGGAATGGGCATGGCACGGGCAGGCGGGCAGCGGCCGAGAGACGCAAGAACAACTAGCCTAGACCACGGTGTTACCGCGGGCTCGTAGGTGGCACGGTTGTGGCTGGCATTTGTGCATCTGGAGAGCTTCTAGCTATTGAGCTGTGGCATACTGGCATCTAACAAGATCACCCCATTGCCCAGTGCCCGTTATCAATACACGCACAAACTTCCTACAAAGGTGCAAATGGATGTGTATCAAAAGAAGCGACATGATATGCTCTTCAGAGTCAAATCACACAAAGTACCATAGCAGTTGTTGTAAAAAAAAGTACCATAGCAGTCACATAGTTTATGATCACCCGAAAGAACGGCATCCTACAAAAATGCCAATGGGTGTGTATCAAAGAGGCGAAAGGAGAGACATGAACATGATATACTTCTCTTCAAAGCAATTCAGTAGTGATTATGATCTCCCAGAAGAACGACATCACGATCAGAAAGAAAAAAAAAACTGCACCCCTCAGACACTTGCACCTAATGTGGACTGCTGGGCATCGATATGAGAAACTGAAAAGGGAATCAACATACCATACGGCATATGTGCTCAAGGCCAAACAATGCTTTTAAAAGGATTGTACAAACAAAAATTATTGTCGTCCATACAACAACAGTTTCGAGACAATTGCCTGATTACCTTTTCAAAATTACAGAAAATTTATCTGATCCAACTATAACTACATACTACATTTGAGAAAACGTCTAGCAGTGACAAGTTAAACAGGATGTACATGAATAGTATATGCTCCTACTAGCCACATCAACAATTAGACAAGCAAAACCTCTAACTGTATATTCCGTCTAAGCCAAAATTCCACCAGCAATTACCGTTAATTTTTTCCACCAACAATTGTATACATGTACTCACCAAAACTCATCGTTCAAAATGACGTGTAAATATACCAGTATCGAAGCAGAACAATCATGAGCACATCCAAGTATATTCAGTCAGGGAACACACGCAGCACATCTTTGCACAACCAACACCAGGACTGGATTGGTTTGCGCCTATTATCATCGCCCCGCTGCAATTGGGTGTAATTCCTGAGTTTTGAACTGAACTATATTGACATTCAAGAAGGTACTTCTCAAATCCTGATAATTACTTAGACACTTTGAAGGACAGTAACATAGAAAGGATGCCCTAGACCACCACCAGATAACAATTTCTCATTTTCATCCACATGTCGTCCCTCAGATGGATGCACTTTCCATTGCAGCTCATAATTGGAAAAATTGTATGTACCTGGTGCAAATATGCACACTTTTAGAGGAACTCTAGCACAACTGTCAGGTTGGAGCTCAATTTGAGCACAACTCAATGAACACCAAACATATGGTGAAATGCTCTTCGAAGATTGCTTCTCTTGATGTGTACTCTTGGAACTAGAGATGGTCTTTACATCATTTTCCAGTGATACATCATACCATCCACCCTGAGCACTGGTTGAGTCATGAGGATGAACAGTTTGGCTTTTCTCTGGCATTACATCAAAAGTGACCACTCTCACCAAAATCTTATGAGCTTCTGAATTGTGAATGACCAACTGGAGGTTAACCTCACAGTAAGACTTTGAGAAATCATGATTAATTGTCCGAGGTCCTTCCATAAGCCACCATATAGGGTTCTGGCTTAGAGAACTAAAAAAGAAGAAGATGGGATCAGCATTTATTCAACAAACCAAGGCCAACGAAGATTGTATCAAACTACATGTTGTATCACTTGCCTGCAATGACACGTGTGATGAGAAAGTAGTTCAAAGTCTGGAGTAGGCTTGGAAGAGTTACCAACTGCCTTTGAGATTAGAACAAAATCAAGAAGGCTGCATGGCCCCTGAACAGTTATCAAGTGCAAATCAGAATTTTATTAATCATTGATAAACATAACAAAAATTATGCATGTGCCAGTTTTCCAATCAAGTCTGTTTTAAGTTGACCTGGAATATTTGGGTCAAGATGTACCCAGATGTATAACTCTTGGAACCAACAAGAAAATAATACCGTCAAACGATGCAACAGCAGTGTAATGAATTATAATATAAGAACTAACCTTTGCTACCTTCCCTTGCCTGTATCTTTCTTGATAGTGAAAATCAGCTAAAGGAGATCGAGCAATGTCAAACAGATCAGTGCTGCTCCCTGGACACAAAGCCATATCGCTTGTGCAGGAACCACTTTCTGCCTCTTTACAAGAATCCGCCTCGCAATCCTTAAAAAAAGCATGCATTGGGAAAATATATCACAACCTTGAATGTACAACACTTAATGAACAGAAGAGCATTGAATAAGGCAATGGAAAATATGGCGTATTAAAGTGTTCTGTATCCGACAGAAAATTGAAGAATGGGCCTTCAACCTTAATTTTGAAGAAGTACGACACAGCCTGATTTTCTGATACTGTTTCAACAGAGTTGATTGAACTGCATAACGGCAACGCTGAAACTGCCCATTTACCACCGACACATGATAACTGATGAAGCACAAATGACTCTGATGGAGTCTTGTTCATGACATCCATGCGAACGATATACTCTTGCAATCTTGATGAGGACGTGCTTATAGAAAAGGATACATCAAGTGATGGCAAAACCTGCAAAGAATTGCTTAGAGCTAATGCTTATCCAAAAGGAAAATAAGCAATAAAACAATAGCATACAACAAATAACTAGTTTGTTCATCCTTCGTTCTTAAGATCAAGGACACAAAGAATATTACTATGGAGGATAACCGTTAGAAACGCCTTGATCTTGGATTGCTTAAACTTTAGCAATTTCACCTTGGAAAAGTAATTGTGTTGGGAGGACAATCAAAGCTTCACTGATGCAATGTGCAACAATAAATGTGAAAGAACGACTTTTAAGAGAATCCCAATCCCCAGCCGAAAGTCTGGGCATTTTATAAAACACTAACATGTGTTATGAATGTGCTAACAATCCAAAATGACATTCTATGAAAATATTTTATTTAAGAAGAAATTTATACACGATGAAAATATTTTTCATGGTGAACCTAGTAGCATCAATCTTAGCCATCAATCTATGTAAATCAATACTGAAAAAAAGAGCAACAAGAATCTTACAACAACTTGCATTTGGAGCTGGAGGGAGTAACAAATATATTTCCTAAAAAAACCAAATATGGGACACAATCCGTTACCTCGAGATTGAAATGCATGCGTAGTGTACGGTATTTAATATCACTGGAACTCCCCATTTCGTAATACAGAGATATATAAAGAGAAACATTTCCAGGAGTTGCAGCATGAAACCAAATAGGCCAAGAGAGTGCTGCCCCTGTTTGAATTTCAATATCCTGGAAAAATTATGATGGTCAATATTTGTGAAAGAATATGCGACAGCAAATAATCTGTGAAAGCAATAAAAAATGTTAAATAGATTACTCTAGTACAAACAAAAAGATACTAGTGCCTTAAGCCACTTTACCTGAGGAAATGCAAAGAGCAAACTCTTGAAATTGTCCTTCAAAGTTTTGGATGATATGACACTGCTTTCTGATTGCATATGACTTTTTAAGCAGTCTGGGAACTCAAGGCCAATGTCCGATGAATCACCAGGAATTAAAAATCTTGGGCTGCTAAGTTTCATTTTTATGCCCTGCATTACAGGATTGGAAAGAGTTAACAGATAATATGGTGCTTGATACTTGCATAAAGTCATGATCATCTGTAGAAAACTCAGCAACTCTTCAATGATTATCAGAATAAGAAACAAGAGGAAGACAAATGGTAAAGACCTTCACAGCATATTCTGAATGGTTTCTCAGATTTAGTGTAAGCAGCTTTAAATCACCAGCAACCGCTTTTGTTGGCATGCGATCAATAGATCCTGTAAGTTTTGGTAAACCCTGTAGGCGAAGAATTTAAAACTTCACACATCATCAGAAACTAATGTTTGTGAAGAGAAATCTGGAGAGATTATAACCTTGATTACAACCAGGCTGTTATTCAAAGAACGACGTGGGCCTCTTTTGCCTTTCTTGATTTTTTTCTGTGCATCAAATTCAAAGTATTGATAGCCTACTACTGACTCTGAAAGTGTCCACCTTATTCCAACCAACTTCAGAATACCTTCAACTTTTGGAGTAACATCAAGTTGCACCTAATGAAGTTGGAGAGGAGATGAGCAACTACCTTGAAAGACAATTAACAAAAAAAAAAAACACAACACCTATACGAAACAACAAATGCCAAACACATAAAATCTGCAAAAATGCAATCGGACAAATAGTAAGGAAATGAGGAATAATCAGTTTAGAAAATTTTTTCTCAAACATGCAGGAGAGCTGCGTATAATCAGTTAGTATTTGACCCTGGCTACATCCATTTTCTTAAAAAAAGAGAGATATTATGATTTTGCTACACATCTCTTGTAAAATCAGATTGAAGAAATTGAAACAAATGAAAATAATTCAGTAATAACATATGGCGGGTTAATGGATACCAAGCAAAACAGTATGTATTGGCACTGAACTGAACTATTATTGGCTTTCTCAGTATGCATGTGGTGGCCTTTTAAACAACATCTAAGCATTCTTTGGAGTATAACTAGTTGTTTGCATCGTCCATCTTTGAGCCCAAACAGCAAAATCTTACTGTAACGAATTCCAGCAAATGAATAGATCCAACAGCATACTGCACCAATACCAAATTGAACCTTAAGCACTTCTTTCCCATTCAGCCCCTAAAATATTAACAGTATATTCTGTTCACCTAGCTTTTTACTGAGTAAAGGTTAGATCTGCTGTAATGAATCAGGTAGCAAAGACATGCTTAAACAATTTTCAAAGCACACAAAAGATTGGGTAGAGTTAAAAGGCAAGAAATTGTTACATACTCTTTTACTTTCACCTCCTCCTAATACAATGTCAAGCTTTGACAGTGTAAACTTATCTCCATCAGTCTCAAACCTGTAGTGTTCAATAAAAAATAGAAATAATAGCCATTATAAATTTTGGTGGAAAGAACAACATCTACATGAACGAAACCTTAATTATGAAAAGAAAATTACATTGAAATAGATGGCTTTGTGTTAACCTTATCTTCCCCACCATCCAAATCCAGCCCACTTACATCTGCATGAAGAATGTAATGCATCAGTGGTTAACGTAACTCTATATGGAAAGAACTCAGGAAGGAAAATCTTACCAGAACTTAATGCATCCAAAGTGGTGGAAAGCTGGCATATAAGAGAGATGCCAGAAACAGCAACAGGAATTTGGAGGGGATTTTTAAGTTCAACATTCAATTTTACTGCTTCTGCAACCAACAAACAAAGCAACTAAGAACACTATGTACATAATAAAAGAGAAATAATAATTAGAAGGGTCTAAAGGAGATGATAGCAGATCATTTCAACCAAATTTATGTCTACTTTGTGCCTTTACTGAAACTTCACGTAACATTTAGTGCTCTAAAATTTTGTCAGAACTCCAAGGGTCATTTGCGTCAGGCTCATAAAATATGAACACAACAGTTCTGGGGTCCCTCTTGCTTATAAATAATTTGGTACCAAGAAACAATTTTCTAGTCTTGTTGTGCCAAAAGAAGCTCCATTGCCAAGCATCCAAAAACTTACAGCTCAGCCATGGTCAAAATGGTTATCAGTCTACCTTGGTTGAAAGCCTGTAACTCAAGCATAACTAGAAGGGAAAAACCCTTGTCGGACGGAACCAATATCCTACCAACAATTGCATAAGAATGTTACCAGCCGTGGCTAAGCCAAGTGACTGGTTACATTAGTTGTTCACACTGCTCAAATGAGCAAATAATGGAAACTTGTATCAATTCAGTTGGTAAGTTCTATCCTTCAACCTCAAATGACAATGTAGGCACCACTCAGGCCTCATCCTCTCCTTCTCATGCCCACTTCCTCAAGGCCTCACCCTCTTATGTTTGCTTCTGCTACTGCTGCTCCGACCTCATCTTCAACCTGATATATGCAGTACCAGTGGCATCAACCACAGTCTGCAGATCTGCAGCTTGGCTAAACCAGTCTGCCTCCAATTGGTAAGGTTCATTTGGTCACCTTGAGACCAAAATTATGATGGAAGGAAAAGAAGGCAACAGCCAATGGCATTTTTTTTCAAATAGGTCAGCAAAGAAAAGGTCCAATTTCAAGGATATGGTAAAAACCATAAATAGTTAAAATATTTCAAGTGGAAATGGAGGACATATCAAGTTCAAACTCCATTGGCAAAATAAAGGGGATTCAAACTCACATCAGAGTGCAAATCATACAATTCCAATGGGACTGGTGGACAATAGATGGACGGTGGCCAGACGAATTATTAATATATTATACAACATAAGTAGCTAAGAAAGATGCACGGCACTTGATGTTCAAGCCTTCAAAGGCCCAAACAGACAGTTTGTCTATCCCTTATCCAGCAACAGACGTGAATGCGAGATAGCACTCAAAGACAAGTGTCCGCCCATCTAAAAAAAGATACTGTCCTGCACTAGATTGGTAAGTTGACAAGTGCCACATTGTATACCAGACAATTCCAGATAGTGGTTTGACCTCAAGTTCAGTCATATATAGCTATGAATTTTTATTTTAAAAAAATACCTCCAGCCACACAAATACAGGAATCCTTGTATTTTCTCATTGGCTGAGTATCCAGCCAATTAGTTCTGACAATTGATGATGATGGGATCAATTCTTCCTCCAGCTCCTGCCAGGTGCTTTCACTAACGCCAACCTGTAACAGAATACAACCAACACATGCTGAGAATGGGCATCAATAGCATAGTAACAAATTAGCACCAGCAAAAGAGATCAGGTTAAAGACAGTCATAGTGTTTCATTTTATTATCGAAGGTGTGAAATTGGCCATATATTATGCCTTTTTCTTTAAAGGAGCACGAGAAGGATAACTAAAGTACCCAAAAAACAATATTCTACAAAAATATAGGGAGGTTCAATGTTTGATTGCTCCCAGAAATGCAAATGATAGATGGATTAGAAATACTCCTGGTACAGTTGTTAGGCCTTACATCTGCATCTGATGCATAAGTGCGATGATCTTCATATATAACTTTGAGAGATGACATGTTAAAAACAGGAAGTTGAAGCTTGTACACATCAAATTTCTTCCCCATGCTCTATACACAAAATACTATCACAAAATTAGAATGCACCAAAAGTTAGGTTCAAATAAGGTATTAAGGTGTAGTGCTATAGTTGGTCAATAACCTGAACATAATGGAAAAAATCATTGAGGAACATGTTTTGTGTAGTCAGCGACTGATGGCTACAAGCAATGACCTCCAGCAAGTGCTTGATGGCTACATCAAGTATCCCGAGAACTCCATACCACCTACCAATACACCCAGAGTCAAGTACAGCGTAAAGACACAAGATAAAAATTGGACAGGAGCTAAAAATACCTAATTACCTTCCAACATTAAAATGTACATGATTGTTGATGTAACTCCAAGGGTTTTGTTTGTAGACAAACAAAGCATTTCTGTACACCCGAACAGCATGTTGTTTCTGCATTTAAAGAAAGAAAATCGATTAAAAAAAGATTCAATCAACATTGAAAGAGATTACAACAGCGGTAAAATAATTATTATGAACCTGATCAGAAACGTAGTAGCTATTCCCAGCTAAGATTAGGTGAAATCCGTATTTCCGAAGCATGGGTGGATTGGCTAATAGATAGCAACAGGCGGCTTGCTCAAGCAGTACAGCTGAATGCAACGAAGGTTCCTGAGCAGTAGAGATCTCAATCAATAATACATCTAATCAGCCAAAAACTTCCCACGACAAAAAGGAAATCTACCTCATTAGAAACACGGAAATACACGTTTGATGCTTCCCTATACTGTCCTCTTGTTTTAAGCATTTCGGCCCACCAAAGGCCACATCTAGTAGCATTTCTCTGGCCAGAAGATCCAATTCTCTGCATATATGAAAAGGTGAATTACACTCCGAATGAAAGAAGACTACAAGAGGAAGTTCAATCAAGAAAACTAGAGAGTCTACTATCTACAAATCATAAGCGTGTAGTATCTTGTCATGGCACATATTCCACTTCTTTGTGCATTTCTCCTAAATGCAACACACCTCAGGATATTCAGATTTGTACAGCTGGTACCAGAATATCCATAATAAGCAATTTTATATTGAAGAGGGTAGCTTAAAATCAGGGCAGACCCTGTACATTCTGACTATTTCTCCGACACAGCATACGTTACTGAAAGAAGCCAGAAACTAGAATGAAATGAATATGTGGCAATGTGGCCCAGAACTTGTAGCCAGTCTAAAACGCCATTCCTTCCCAAATGAATTTAGGTACAAGACATCAAGGGCGTGTTCGGATTCCCGCTTCCAGCGATCCAGGACCTGTGTGTCCATATAAACTATAGGGGAATACTGATCGGATGCCAGGTTCCGCGGTGCTGCTCTGCATCCACCGGCGCAAAAAAAAGGGTTTGGGCTCTGCTCATGCGGCTGATTCGTTTGTCGCTCTCGGGCCTGTACCGGTGGATGCAGGATTAGTATGGTCCCACACGTCAATCTAACATGCTAGGTAAGTTGTATCCGCTCATACAGCGAACCAAACAGAATCTCAGCTTCTTCTTCTTTTTTTTTTTTTTTTTTTTGCATTCGCTCGTGCACTTTCACCAAACTCTCTCTCCCTTAGAATTTACATCCGCTGAGCAGTTTCTCCTCATTCAGGATACAGTCTTGCTCGAGCAACCAAACACACTCCAAGGGTCTCTGCAGCTGGATATCAACGGCATGACACCTATAGCATCCACTACCGTCGTCATGAACATATAAGCGCTTTACTGTTGAGCTAATATCATACGGATATCTGCAGGGTAAGTTCAATGCATATTATGGAATAATATGCACAAAAGCATCCTAGCTGTTTGTTATGACCATTGCTTAAATAAGACTTAAATTGGGTATTCATTAAACAACTGATAGACAAGAAAAAGATGTTCCATGCAAAATGGGTTTTGGGCTCCTCTTATTGTTCAGTGTAAGAAACATGGGGTAACAGCGCAATACCACAGAACAATATCCAAAACATTAAATAATAAGCAATATAAAGGAAATAATTATTTGCCTGTGCAGGAAACCAAGATATGAATTTCTAAATAAATACCAAATATGTACTGAAGGCATTTTCCATGCAATACTCCGCGTCCTTCCTAGACTGATCCAAAATGAAATAGCAAAGTCCACTCATCTCCTGCAAAAGGGAATATATGAACATGTATCAATATGAAATGAATATGTAACACACATTAAGGTTATTCCAGAACTCAAGAAAAAACGATCCAGAAACCCTGCAACATAGTGGACATGTATCATCTGATGTTTTCTAGGCCAAGCCCCATATTTGTGGGAAAGCTGGGTTGGTAATGGAACTGCCAATTGCTTAAGGCCCCGTTTGGATCCTTCGAATTGAATTCATTCTAATAAATTATAATTTAAACACATATTAATTAAGCTAATATGGTTGTATATGGAATATATTTGTATACTATTGTTAGCTATGCAAGGGAGATGCTTATATGTTGCATTTCTACTATAGGGAAGCGAGTTGAAGAGAGTGCTACAAGTTACGGAGCAGAAACATAGCATGTTGATCTATAGAATCAATTTCCATCTCCCACCCTATGAATTTGATATAGGCTTATATGTGAACTTTGGAAAGTTGTGGAATCTCAAATTCCAAGCCAAATAGCATAATCCATTAAGTAGATTTCAATTCCTCCAAAATGAAGGGATCCAAACGGACCCTTAGTGTAAACAGGACCATCATGTTTAGCATACTAGCATACCGGGATATTCCTTCAGAATAGGAATCCTAATTGTGCCTTTACAACAAACTCAAAGACGCTAAACAGACTACTAATATGTATATCCATGGAGAAAGTTCAGCAAAACGAGTCAAAAACAAAAAATTCCACCTGTACACCAGCAAATCGCTTCCAAGCCTTATCAAGCTTATAATCAGTGGCGAGTAATCTGTAGTTTGACAAGGCAAGCTCGTAGTCTCGTAACATGAAGGCGAAATCACCTAGTACTCTGATCTGTGATTCTATGGAGGTGAATGTATACCTGATGGAGAAAATAAAGTTACAGCATATTACAAATTACATATATACAGTGAAAAGTAGCAAGATCCAGAATAATCACTTGCATTGGCCCATTTGGAGCTTCTGGGACATCATCTCTCTTTCTCCACCACAAGTTCTTGATCTGATTTCTAAAACCCTTTCTTGTTGTGGCTACCTAAAACAGTACTGAATCTTGTTGGGATATGATAAGATGAACATAATGATATACCAAACTTTCAACTGCATACCTGCTGATTGAGGACACGTATCTTTTGCTCCATGTAGGGGATGATATGGTTAGAAACAAAATCTTGCATGAAGTCCTTTATCTGAAATAAACAAGCTCAGCAATTCAACATCAAGTAAAACTTGTTGAAAGCTGAGAAAGGTTGCATGATGTGACAACACACCCACAATGGAAGAACTGGAGAATAGAGATCTAGGGCAAGAAACATAACAGAACAATTTGATGTGCCATCCTTGGCATCAGTGCACACACACACACAACAACAACAACAACAACAACAACCAAAAAAAAAAAACTTGAATCAACTGAAAGCAGGATGGTTACTCCATAACTATCACCTAATAGATGAATCCTTAGGCACCATGAAAAGTTGAACAAAGTGTCACAAAACTTTGTGTGCCCAGCAAAACACTATAGAGAAGCACATGATAAAACAGATCAATGTTCTAATACCTCATTCAGATCATCCACACTAATGAAACAGGATCCATCATGATTGTTCAAACCAAGAGCTTTCTGCATTTAGTAACGAAAAGACTATAAAGTAGATTGTATATTTGCTGAAATTTGAAAACATTACTGAAATTCTATATGAGGTAATTCAGTATGCTCACATAAGGTAGCCATGAATTGTCAGCATTACTACCACCTGCTTCTGTAGACGAATTTATGCATAATAATTTACAGTCGTTCAGACCAAGGGTACTCCTCATTTCAGCTAAGATATTCACAGCTCTTCATGTACAAAGTAATATGGGTCAGCAAGAAAGAAAACAGTATATAATTGAAACATAAAATATCAGACAATATTAAAGGACTTGGCAATAAAGACTTGGCAAATCAGCTATTAAAAAGAAAGATTAAACGATTTTCTGCAACTGTGTATATTAAAGGATTTTCTGCAACTATGACAACAAAGACTGAAAACATAAAGACTTGGCAAATCAGCTATAACAAAGAAATAGATTACAAAATTGCAATAAATAATAATTCGATATATTACATGCCATAATATTATCCCAAGTTCATACCCATTTAGCAAAAAAAAAATAGTATTTAGTTTTAGTGGGGCTTATGTGAGAAACCACATGCCCTTTTAATCGGAGTTTGCTTCCTTCAGAAGTGCTTCTATGAGGAAGCTGCTAAGGAGAGGGCTTCAGCTTCCTGGTACAAGAGAGGAGTTCAAACTTCCCTAAAAGGCTATACCACTTTTAGGGAAGTTTGAAGACTTGAAGGATGAGCGTTCCGAAATACCCTTTGGACAATTGATGCCCTGATTTTTAATGGTAGTGATTTTAATTTTTTTAACAATTTTAATTTCCACTTTTAAATATATTATAAAATTATGCTACTTTCTTTTACTCTGATCCATACTCCCACTGATTCAAAATACATGTAGATTTAGGATTCTTATAAATCAAAAGTTCTTCACTTCAATCATCAATATATAAGGATTTGATACATTAATAATGTAAATTATATGTCATTTATTTATCGTGAAGAACACTTCCATATATTTAACTGTCTTTATTTAGCATGTCATAGTTTCATAGAAATTATTGTGCTGAGTAATCACCCTATAGACTATGTCGCTATGTGCGCCCGATCACCAATATGAGTTTATGACCAGACACAGCACAGTTATGGTCCTGACAAAGGTGTCGGACACATGGGTGTCGGATGTAAAACAATTTCCTTTGCACAAGAAGCACAAAGTTAGGGCCTAGGGGTAAAAAGCCCTTAGAAGTTAAAATGCATAGAATTAGGAAAGCAAGGAAGCATGAATACTAAAGGCAATAGGGACACATAAGAAATTAACCATATGAGGAACCTTGTCTAACCTTGATGAAGACAAATAATCCTAAAAATTGTGAACTACAAAATATGTAGGCAGTTATGTTTTTCAACCATTTTGCCAATACAGATTCACAAGCATTATGTTTGACAATTCTGAAGGGGTTGGTCAGGTACGAAAAACATAGGCCAGCTATGTTTTTAAAAAAAAATGATTTTAACATCATAAATTGCTTTAGTAAGAGTATCTTCTTTAGTTAGAAAGAAAGGTGAAGAACAATACATGTCTTGTGGCCCCTCTTGCTGGTCATGAAGTACAAGGTAATGCTTCAAAATCTGTGGATCCATTATGCCTTCATTCAAAAGAGATGGCAACTGATTTGTGTTGAAGAGATCAACAAATTTATTGACTGGTTCTTTGTCCATTGATGACACAACTAGAAGACCTGTTAATAATAGCTTAAAGCATAAGCAAGAACATATTCAGCAAACAGAATAACCAGCTAAGAACAGGAAGTGTCAAATCTCACATGCCACGGGATGGTCAAATGTTTCATGCTCCGAAAATGAGAGTGTCCGCATTAGCTCTCTATCGAACTTCTTAATCCACAATGGGCACAGCTCGGCCTCAGGCTCTGGAATTCATATATAGGATGCAATAAGGTATCAAACAAAATTTGCACAGCTGAGCTTTGCAAATATTGGAGTTGACTTGACTAAAGCACGTAACAACCAAAGAAGCACCAATAAGAGACACACATCACATCTTCCAGTAAGATACATCAGAGTACCAGCCATATAGAAATGAAGACATTTGAAGTGACAATGTCAAGCTCTTCCCAGCAATTTCCCAAAAAAAAAACTAAATTACCCAATTTAGTAACAAAAATGCACAGAGCACCAAGCAGCGCATTCTTCTAATGAGCATTTGCAAGCAATTTGAGCTCTCCATCCATACAATAGAATGCACGCAAAGCAACTTCACTACAACAAACAATCGCCTGAAATTATGCTGCAACTGCACCAAGCGATCTTGATGGAAAGCATGTGGCTGCCCATTAAAAATCATTCCTAGTTCACAGGTTACACATTTTACTATTCTTTCTGTTTATGAACACACATTCCACTATTCCTCGCCATAAAGGTTAAGAGGTTAACCATTGCCAGCCTGGGCTAACCCACCCCCTGCACGCACCCTGGCCCAGGAAAAGTCTTGAGGACCGAGGACCCAACTGCAGCCCTCCAATGCATCCCAAGTCCACTGCCCATTAGGGCCACAAAAGTAACATCAACTAGCCCATTAACTGAATTCTCCTGCTGTGTTCTCGTTCAAAAAAAACTAGCCCATTAACTCCTGTCAACGTTGCCGGAACAACATACCAGTCGCAGATCATTATTTCCCTCTCCTATAAATGGAAAACAACCACACAAGCTCACCTTGCCTAGTCACCTCAGCAGCATCCAGGCTCACCACACACATCATCACACTCAACCTCACACCCAAAACAAGGAAAGACCTGACCATAGAGCACACCTAAGATGGCTACAAGCTTCCCTGCAAGCAGCTCTTTGACAACATGCACAACAATGCTGAAGTTAGGCACACCTTCAAACACGCAGAATTTCTATGTTTCCAAATCTCCCAAGCTCAGGCTACCACACAATCAATTGAGATCATTTCCCCTAATTTACTTTGCAGAACTTTACAATTGTTTTCCATAGTAGTTTTACATGGTTCCATAGTAGTTCGGCTCTAATTTGCAGTATATACTGATTTCCTAATTCTATGGCTAATTGACTAGTTTTCCGCTGCCTAAACTACACTGATCTCCCCCCCCCTGAAAAATCTTTGCCCCCTTCCACCACTAATCCAATTATCAGAGAAACACAGCAATGTGAACTTCATTGGAGAGGACGTAGAACATCCATATTATCATACAGAAGCAAAGTGCGGGATCTTACTTTGAAGTACATCTTCAACCTGAGGCGGGTCTGAAAGCAAATCAGGAAGAGCCTTCTCATTGGCCTCAGAAACTACCGGCTTAATCCTCTCGTCTGCCACCTGTTCCCAAACATCGGGGTCATCAAACACTGAAGTAGCTACAGCCCCCTAAGATAGCAATACCAGAATGTTTGAGGATCACCTCGCAGTCCTCCTTCCGGACGTCGGACGCGTAAACCATCCGAATCTTAAACATTTGCAGCCTGTACGGCACCTCGCTCGCCGTCCGCACGGGCACTGCTCAATCGCGGGCACAGAGACAGAACCTTCCATGAGATCACATAACCAAAACAAACGAAAAGCGAACAAAATACAGCACAGGGTCATCTGAAACCAAGCATTGGGAGGCTAGTCACCGTCGATTTTTTTTAAGAGCGAGAACGGGGAGAGCATGTCGACGAAGCTGAGGCCGTTCTTACGGCAGGCGGCCTCAGCGAGCGGTGTGGACAGCACCATCACCACCGGTGTGATTTCTTCGAGAAGGAGCCGCCCCAAGTAGCTCCGGAGCGGATCCATCGGGCCAAAACCCTAGCGGCGCTGGTCCGAATTGCGGATGAGCCAAATTTAGCGGCGTGACTGACTCAGGGGTGGGAGGCGCGAGCTGGGGTTACGACGTGGGTAACCAACCTTTACTGAGATCGGCGTACGCGGGGTCGCCGGAGAAGGGGGTGATCTCCGGCGACCGGAGAGCTCGGTGGCGGTGGTGGACGGTGGTGGTGATCTGATCTGGGAGAGCGCCAGGTAGAGAAGACGACGACTGGCCGTACTGGTTCCGCTTAGGCACAGCCTGCACGGTTTCCATACTTGGGCTTCAAGGAATGCTTTGTGGGCCTTGAACGGCCCATCCATATATCCCTGCAATTTCTTTTAAAATGGCGACAGTATATAAAGGCTCCGTTTGGCATGGCTTCTCTAGCGGCTTTAGGAGCCGCTTGGAGCCGTTTTCTGCCAAACGGGGTAAAATAAAACGGCTCCACCGATGAAGCTCCTAAAAACGTGCTCTCACATAGCTTTGGGGTGGGAATGAGTCAAAAATAGTGGTTTCTCTTGGCTTCACCTCATTCTACATGGCGTTCTCTGATATCATATTTTAAGAAAAACTATATGTGAAGCTGTTTTGCCAAACGATTTATCAAAACGGCTACAGCTCCACCCATAGAGTTGTTCATGGAGCTGAAGCCCCAAAAAAGAGCTTCATAGGTGAAGTGGAGCCGTGCAAAACGGGGCCAAAATGTACCAAGATGTTTTTGTTTGGAAGAATAGCCATTTTGGTGCCTCAAATATTACTTGTGGCTCGATTTTATCTCTAAACTTTTAAAATGGCATTTTAGTCCTTAAACTTTAGTTTTAGGCTCAATTTCATCCTACAACTATAAAGATGATCGTCTCAGCCCTCAAACTTGTAATTTGGGCTCAATTTCATCCATAAACTATCAAAGTGCATTTAACATTTTATTTTCAACTCAATTTTGTCTATTGAAAAAGAAAACTTTATATTTTAGGCACAATTTCATCCATGAATTATCAAAATTATAGATCTACTATTGTTTCAATATATCCATGTATTCTTAAAAAATAAATAGTGTCCGATGCAAACGTAATTGCTTCCACAAATATCATTTAGTCGGATATATATAAATGGTACCATTATAAGGTAACATTAAAAATATGAGGTTGAAATTATTAATGGCCACGAAAGAGTTTTTGAACGAATATTGGCCCCATTCGCTGGTCTGAAACTGGCTGGTTTTGTGAGAGAGAAATACTGTAGCGGTTGTTTGATGAACAGTGCTCGCTGAGGGGGATCAGCCGGCTACCATACCAGCGAACGCGCCCATTATTTTTCTATCTTCAATCGCTGGTGGTGTTAAAGCTAACCAGGTGCAACAGTGCAGCGTTCCACGTAGAACGTAGACAAAGTTTAGTTGAAAATAAAAGTTTAAAGAACAAAATACACTTTGATGGATTATAAATTAAATTGATCCTAAAATGCAAAATTTGAGGACTAAAACAATCATCTTCATAGTTCTAGATGAAATTGAGTCTAAAAATAAAGTTTAAGGATGAAAACGGCTTCGAATAATAGTTGATGGACTAAAATGACTATTCTGCCTTTTTGTTCTAATCACTCTAAACTTTAGCTTATATTAAATTAGAATAAACATTCAATGTAAACTAAATCTTCAGGGTGTAAGGGCCCATTTGGCCGAACCCTCTCCGGCTTCAGCATTGTAGCATGGAGCCACAGGAGCTCCGCTGGCTCCGTCGGTTTCGTAGGCAATAACAGAAGGAGCCAAAGTTTGTTTTTCGAGTGCTATTGCGCTATTGCAGCACAGTAGGTGAGGAGTCAGAGCCGCTGCGGAGCTCTGCCAAGCCCACTCTAAGGCTCCTCTTCGGCTCCGGCTCCGGCTCCTCCAGAGGAACTCTACTAAATATTTTTTTGAGAAGAGCCGTTTTTTAGTAAAAAATAGAGGAGCCGGAGCCGTTTTGGAGGAGCCACAATTTATGGCTCCTCCAAAACGGCTCCAGCTCCTCCGGAGGAGCCCCTCAGGAGGAGCCGTGCCAAACAAGTCCTAAATTGTAATCATGCGTAAGTTTTTTACTTTTATATGCGAGACCCTCATCACTTTTAGATCAACTCAGTTCAACTTTTGCTTACTTGGCTATCCTTTTTACCGATATAAATTGAATAGTTGTTACAAGTCTTGTTTATGTGGCTGTCCAGTCATTTCGACTTTCTCAGAGAAGCAAAGCATCTCAAGTTTGATCAAAATTATAGAGAGACAAAGATTTATGACATCAAACAGATATAGTATAAAAATATAATTAATAAAGAATCTAATGGTACTTGTTTGGTATATCATAAATATTATTATTTTATTGTATAAACTTGATTAAACTTGAGATGCTTTCATTCTCAAAAAAAAGTTGGAATGACTTATAGGCCCCGTTCGCTGGTCTGAAACTTGACTGAAAACAACTTTCCGACTGGTTTGTTGTGAGAGAAAAATACTGTTTGGCTGGATGGATAAACAGTGTCGCGTGAGGGGAACCAGCCAGCTGGTCGGTCTCCTCCAGACCAGCGAACGAGCTCATAATTTAGGATGGAGTATTACCTCCATTTCAAAAAAGATGCAATCCATATTTTCAACATATATAACTCCAAATAGATATAGTGCACAAAGTATTTGTTATTAATAAATATTGTTCTTTTTATATAATAAATTTGATCAAACTTTAAATCATACGGCTTAACATTATCCTAAAATTGCACCCTCTTTGGGAGGTAGGGAGGATGTTTCTTATACTGAAGTATCAGGATGTTTCTCTACTGATAAATTGTCTTAAGTTTTTAAATTTGACATGACAAAAACAAAGCATCTTTTGTTTTATAACCGAGATAGTAGGCCCTAAGAAAAATGTCAAACACTCGAAATTAAGCGAGAATGAAACGTAACCAGGCACATTGTCCAGATCGCGGCGCACCAGGGAAGACGACGTGAATAGCCAAAGAAAACATGTAAACACATACATGCATTATATGCTTATACATTTTATACTGATACTGAAAAAATCGTTCTCGTATACAGACACGTTGCAACAGCTACAACTCCCTCCCAGAGAACAAGGAACTGGAAAATAAATTAATTTACAATGTCTTTTCCGATAATAAAGTGAGCATGGTGTCTTTAATGGTCCGCCAAAGCGCCGTCAAGCCAGATAGTTGTAAATCTGGGGGTTACTCCTGTCCCGCTCCAGGTACTCCCGGTCGATCAAGCTCTCTATTCTTTTCTTGATATCAGCTGGCTTAACAGGGAACTTGAGCTGAAAGGAGGGACATGGATGAAACCCAACGGTTAAAGGGGGTCAAGTTAGCCGTGAGGTAAATAAAATACACAGCTAGATTAATTAATATTCTGAAGTGTCACCTGCTGGTAAAGCTCCGTTATTAGAAGGGTGTGGCTGAGGACCTTCCGCGTCTTCATTATTCGAACTATGGCCGCATCAACCTGCATTATAGAACCAAAAGAATCTTGTCAATTATGCATTACAAATTTCAATTCAAAAGGATACAATTTACATATTTAACCTATTAGAAGATAAAAAATGAAGAAAAATGGGGTCCAGTCTTGGACATAGTATACTGTGGAGTTGACTCACTTTTCTATCATAAAGCATCAAGCACATATCAACTGAGCAAGCAAAAGCACATGTTGTTCAAGCTAACTATGTACTGCAAGTTCCAAGGATAATCCATCACGAAAATAAAAAAAATACACAAAAGAACTTGCTCCCATTCTGAAACTAAGGCCCCGTTTAGTTCCAAGCCAAAAACCAAAAAATTTCAAGATTCCCCGTCACATCAAATCTTGCGGCACATGCATGGAGTACTAAATGTAGACGAAAAAAAAACTAATTACACAGTTAGCCGAGAAATCGTGAGACGAATCTTTTAAGCCTAAATAGTCCATAATTGGACAATTTTTGCCAAATAAAAACAAAATGCTACAGTAGCCAAAAGCCAAAAATTTTCGGAACTAAACGGGGCCTAAACTAACAGATTTTCACTTGCTAGCATATAGAGTTAAAGCACCTGATACTGCCGATCCTGGAACACTCTCTCAGTGGTGCTCGTGTTTTCTTCTACCGTCTCCTTCATTTGAATTGCATTTACCTGGAAGTGCACAACAACAGTTCAAGCTTAATGACCATATCAAATATAAAGTGTATGTGTACATATATTACCCTTATGCGATAGAGGGGAGCACTAAAATCTTCATTGAATACAAATTCATCCTTATCTTCTACATCTCTCCCTTTTGGTATCTGAAAACATAGGTTACAATTAAAGAAGCTGCATACTGAAAATGCAAAATGATGATGAGGCAAAAAAAAAAAGGATCACACCTTTTGGAGAACCCGAACTTTACCACATGCAAGTGATTGCAGTGTCCGTCTCAATTCTTTATCCTCGATACCAGTGGAATCTTTGATGTCAAGGAAGCTTAATTTTTGTGCGTCATTGAACAACATCAAAACCACACTCTGATGGGCAGCAATAAGTTAGGGGAAAATATAATTATTGATCTCAGATGGTTTCAACTGATAGGCACTGAAAAATGAGATGAAAATGCACCTGAAACAATGACACTGCGAGTTCCTTTTTGCCTTTGGGAAAGTCCGCTTTCAAGACACAGTGTCCCAAAGAATTCTGCCACATTAAACGCCTTCCACTGTACTTGCTCAAATAGAACTCTTTAAATATATCCTGTCAGAGGGAGAGGATTAAACAAAGTATTCAGAAAAAGGGGAGAGGATTAAACAAAATATTCAGACTGACATTAAAATATTTACTACCACCACCAACTATATACTAACCTGATACACATTCAGTTCGTGTGGGAGTTTCACGTCCATTGGTGGATATGTAGGCCAATAGCTGTAAATCAACATATTTTACTATCAGAACTACATAAACATGACAAACAACATCAAAAGGCCAGCCTCCCATGCTAGGACTATGGAGCACATGCATGAGATCAGGTTTACAAACCTATCTAAACGGAACATGTTCTACAGAGAGTTCGTATCAAAGCAATGGGGCAAAAAATATTACCCTGTTGTAAGCACATGGACACTCATTTCAATGCCAGAGGGAAGCTTTGTCCTAGCTTGAGATGATTGCCTGAATGAATCATTTATTTCTTTGGATAATTCAATGTCCTACAAAACCAGCAAGTAAAACAGATGTTAAAAGGGTACTCAATCTATATAATGAAATATTGATACTTCAGATGCATC